GAGCCTTTCAAAAGTTGCAGGGGCATTACATAGTCCAAACGGCATGACAGTAAACTGCCACAGTCCAGCACCCACGGTAAACGCCGTCTTTTCTCTATCTTCTGGTGCCATTTCAACCTGCCAGTAACCGCTTTTCAAATCCAGAGTCGAAAATATTTGGGATCCAGCCAATGTATCCAGGGTGTCATCGATCCTAGGTAGAGGGTAGCTGTCCTTCTTCGTCACGTTGTTCAGCTGACGAAAATCGACGCAAAATCGAGTTGATCCATCCTTTTTCTTAACTAACACCACTGGGGAAGACCATGGGCTGTTGGATGGTTCGATCACCCCTTCCTTCTCCATTTCTTGCACAATTTTATCAGCTTCCTCTCGCTTGGCAAGTGGTAGCCTTCTTGCCGACTGTCGAATGGGCTGTGCATCACCGGTGTTAATTTTATGTTGGACAATTCTTGTCCTACCCTTCTTTCCTTGTCCGTCGTCAAAGACATCCTGATAATTGTGAATCAGCTCTTTCAGCTTTATCCTTTCATTGGGTTTCAAATCCTTTGAAGAAGTCGACAGAAGATTCGTCAATTCATTGCTAACTTTCTTGGCCGGGACTGCAGACTCACGAATGCCTCTAATAATCGAGGAAACCGAAGAACAGTTTCCTAAAACGATTCCTTTCTTTAGGTTTACAGAGTAACCATTAACATTCAATACTCTTACAGGCACTTCTTTTCCGACACGTATTAAAGTCTTCCCTACTACAACTCCTCGACCGACCTCTTTGTCATCAATTCTCGGCTCCAGAAGCATTATACTTCCATCTTCTGATTTACAATCCAAGGAAGCCTTCAATATCATCTCGCTGTGTTCCGGTATCAAAGCATCTTCTGTTAGCATTACACGAATATTCTTTTCTTTTGATCGATGCAACACGACTTCTTCTCCATTTACTCTCAATATTCCTTGTTGAAAGTTCAGTTCAAATCCTATAGAGTTCATAATGTCCATGCCTACAATAACTTCATCTTCAATATCTGCTACTAATGCTCGATGTTTAAATTTCGTGTTTCCTATGACCATCGTGATGTCCACTTCTCCATGAACAGTAGCAGTATCTCCTGTTGCAGTACGTAGTCGCCGATTGGTAGATTTTATTTTCGACTTTTCGACAATATCTGGCCGAATAATTGTCTTCGTCGCACCTGTATCCAGCAGCAGCACATGTAACTTTCCATTAATAAAGCCATCCACAAAAACACTGCTGGACTGATGTAGAAGAGATGAGACACGTTCGATATCCTCTGGGGCATGTTGGTTACAGGTCGACGGTTGCCCCTTTTCCTCGACCCTATCTAGTTTTCCGACTTGGGTGAAGTCGGCGCCTCCTGGCTTTTTCTGCAACGACTTCGTATATGTCCTAGCTTTCCACATCTCCAACATCGGATTTCCTTCTTATCTGGTAGATTCTCTTTAAGGACTCGTCTGATTGCTTCAATTATACTGGGTTCCTCCTCTTTTTCTTCCTCGACTCTCCTAATTCTAGGCTGGCTCCTGCAGCTCTGATTTGCCGCCTCGAATTCCAAAGCTCGGGCCAATGCATCAACCAGTTGGCTCGGACGAGCCAACGTCAGAGCCTGTCTTGTTTCGTTGTCCCGAAGTCCATCCAAAAAGGCTTGAACCGCTAATCGTTCCATAACGGTCGTTGGAGTAGCTGGATATGCTAGCCGGACCAAGCGTGCAATATCAGCCTCGAATTCTTGCAAAGTCTCGTTTGATTTCTGGCAGCGGTTCTTAAGTTGGGAATGGTAGACATGTTCCAAATGTGTCTGGCCATATCGAAGTTCCAGATGTTTAACCAACGCTTCGTAATCTTCTTGTTCGTTGGGAGAGAGTGTCTGCAAGATGTCCGTTGCATCTCCGCGTAAAGCCAGAGTCAATGCTGTAGCTTTTTCTTCTGGTAGCCAGCCATTTGCTTTTGCTGCTGCCTCAAACTGACGGATGTAGTTGGTCCAAGAAGTTTTTCCATCGAACTGAGGTGGTTTCATTCGAACTCGACTTCCCTCTGGCATTGTTCCTGGTTCCGCCAGCATTATAGGTAGATTTACAGCTGTCAGTTTACTATTTATTTCTTTAATTTTGACTTCCAATTTATCATCCAATTCCATCCTTACTTCATTCAATTCCATCCTTACGTTATTTAATTCCATCCTTACATCGTCAACTTTCTGTCCTACTTTCTCTTCTAATTCATTGACATTATCTAGAATCTTTCCTTCCAAATATTCTTTTAGGTTTTTAGAATTTTCTAGAATTTTCTGCTGCAGTTCGCTAGAATTTTCCAGCATTTTCTGTTGTAAATTGCTAGAATTTTCCAGCATTTTCTGTTGCAAATCGTCCTTTAAATTGTTGACATTTTCTAACATTTTCTGTTGTAAGTCGCTAGAATTTTCTACCATTTTCTGTTGTAAGTCGCTAGAATTTTCTACCATTTTCTGTTTTAAATCGTTAGAATTCTCCAACATTTTTTCGTTTAAATTTTGCAACATTAACTGCATATCACACGGGCCTTCAAATAAATACGTATCTGGATTTTCACCTTCCTGCTCCAACGCTTCTCGAAGCCGCTGCTGCAACACATTCTTTTTTCCAGTTGTTTCACATTCCCTTTCTTCCAGCTCCCGCTTAAGGTCCGCCACTTTTAAGTCCATTAACGAAACCATTTTCGCGAAATTTCACACTAACCGCACTCCTGACACCAATGTAACGTTTTTAACTGTTCGTAGTGTGAATTAAAACACGCACTGGTTAATTAACGAACTAAACTATTTATTTAATAACTTAACTACACTTAAAACACTATAAAACTAACTAAACACTTAACTACTAATTATTTATATATCACTATTGTTCAAGAGTCTATTTATTTGCACTTATATTTATTTATTTCGCCGCGAGTACCAAATCTTCACTAACTGCCGTGTGCTGCTCCGTTTCTTATATATTCAGCGCCAAGGTCTTCTGGAACATTCCAGCGAGCTCCACACTCTCGATTGTTCGAGCGCTGAGTCACCGGCGATGACTCATCGGCGATGACTAACCGGCGATGAGTCATCACTCCGATATCCAGAGCGGTACTCGCTACAATATCTACGAGTTCATGACAACATAATATTATATATAATACATAATATAATAGTATTTTACCGTTGAGTGAAGACTTTTTTAATCAACGCTTTTAATAATGCTAAATGCTGTTTAAATTTAGACGACTTATTTGTTTGACGATTTTTACTGAATTGAAATGTCTACACTTTTCAAGTTAATCACTACTTAAATTTGTATTTATTGTATCTAATAGGTACAATTTAAATTTACAGAGATTGTATGCAATCCCATGGGAAAAAATCGTTTAAAAAAAAGACGATCGTCTGAAGAAGATCGTCTATTTTTAAACGATATCGCTTAATTTTTTAAACGATCTTTTGTAAAAAAGACGATCGTCTGAAGAAGATCGTCTACTTTCAAACGAAATCGTTTAATTATTTAAACGATCGTCTTTAATCGTCTAAAATAATACCCGACCCTAAAGACGATCGTTTAAAGTGATAAACGATACAAAAGGCGATCGTCTAAAATAATAGTCGAAAAAAGACGATCGTTTTAATTAAAATTTTAAGTTATAACTTAACCGATGAGAAAATATTTTTATTTTGTCATAATTATTAATTAAACTAATTAAAAAAATAATTCTAAAGGCGATACCTACCTACTTTGAATAATAGACAATTCCAAATATTCCAAAGTATATTTGAAATTCTTTATTATAATAGAGAAGAATTTCAAATATATATTTCGTTTGAAAGTCGATCGTTTGAAAGACGATTGGACGAATTCGCGTCTAAAGACGATCGTCTTTAGACGATTTTTCCCCATGGGATTTATTTCTTCATTCAGATTAACACTGTTTATTGGAAAACCGGTAAAAACTCAACCCAGGATTTCCTCTCGAAATACACACAACAACGCAACAATTCGAGCCACGATTTTTTCCGATATTTTTTAACATTTTCCGGCTTTATTCTCAAAAACACTCGTTTGTAACATAAGCGTTTGACAGCTGATTATTAAAAGTTATACTTTTGTTACGATGATAACAGCCGAGTGGTGGCGCTACTAGCGATACTTCTTTAGCGTAGAGGATAATTTTGGCCAATTTGTTGTGATTAAAAATTAGTATTAAATAAATTAATTTATTACTTACCTTTTATGCTTTTGATGTAGTAGGTAGTGTTATAGCTGTATTTCTTAAATTATTGTAAATAAAACACAGTGTATATTAATAAAATTTAGTCTTTATTAAATAACAAGTATAATAGTTAAATAATACAAAAGCATTACATATAAATAAAGTTTTTTTTATAAGCCCACCTATGTACTGGCGAATACAAAAGGTAAGCTAATAACAATGGTAATCACACTATTTTTTATTCTTCTCTTCCTAGCTTCTCATTTACATCATTAATATAAATAATTGTTTAAAGCATTGTTAAGTGAATTAGTAGACTAAATAAACAAAAAATAAAATAAATGGTCCCTTTAAACCAATGTACAAATATATACTCAAAAAATCGTAACTAATTTAAAATGCTATATCAAAAGAAATAAAACGAATTTCTTTAATTTTTTCATATGGCAACTAAATAAAAATATATAAACAGAAAAAGAAAAATGACCAATCACACAAAAATAAATAATATTTTCAATAGACATAGATACATAATACTCAAAAAAAGGTGTGATTCTTATTTTAGCTAATTGTGATTTTTACAAGGCGCGCCACTGCTCGACGAGGACTGGCGATTCCCGTTCCGCAGTGGCGCGCCGAATTAATAAATTACTTTAGTTTTATACAAAAATATGAACAATTTCGTACGAATACACAAAGCTATAACATAATGTCAGTCGAGTTGAGAATTGTGGAATAAGGGTGTGGGGGTGTATAGGTTAATTTTTTACAACCTAAACGGCTCGCGGCCCTCGCACGTGGATTTCTTCCGGGCTGAACCCGGTTCTCCGGATCCGGTTGGCCTCCTGCTCAGCAGCCGGGATACTGCGGTCGGTTGGTCTAAAGGTACGGGGGTATTTGAGCCAGAGGGCGTTCGTGTCCTAAATAGAGAAGTATATTAGAACATACGAAACGGTAATTTATCAGGCTACCTTTGTTACAGATTGAATTGCCTCAAGCAAAGCATTTATGAATATAATACAATATACAGGGTGTCACGCGGCAAAATTTGCGTTCTTAAAAAAAAACAATTTTATGATCGTCGCGCGGAGATTTTACCCAGAAAACTGTGATCGAAATTTGCCGCGCACACTCTGTATAATCTTATTTACAAAGATAGTTTGTCAAGCTTATAAAAGCTAACAACTTTGTGTCATGCAATATGTTTTGTATCCAGTTAAGGTGCATTAGTATATGGGCGAATTTTCGTTAAATGTATATTTTGTCCAGGCAGGTCAATTTGATCGATTTTTTTTTCTTTGTGCTAGAACAGTGTAATATACTGCAAAAAATTCTACATGTTTATAAATAACAAAAATAAACTTTAAAGAAATAAAACTTATAGGGTTAATCTGAAATAGGGAAGAAACACAAGGAAGAAATGAAACATTGTCCTCCTCCTAACGCATCTTCCTGAACGTTTTATGACACATTGCTTTTGACTTTTTCAAACGTTATTTTTCAGAAATACTGTTAAATGTAAATATCTTTCGGCATTTGTTTGGAATTTCTACTATGCTATAATACAAAATGAAAATAAAAAAGTTAACTTCTAAAACAAGAGTTGTATGTAGCGTTTTGTAAAAGACACCAAAAGTGTACGCAAAAAATTCTTACCTTTAAAATATTTACAAAAAACTTTACAGGTGCTCACTTGTTGTTGCCGAACTATCAAACATGTATGCCCTCTAGAAATAACACGATAGTATCTCTATCTCGTGTCTCTATTTTGAAGCAGTCGGCATAGAAGACGACGTTAGGAAAAAAGGTTTTTGTGTCAACTTTTTAAACTACTTTGTAGAAAACTATTTTATTTTTATATACGAATAAAAGAACTTTCCATTGTTCAAAAATAATTTATTTTTTCAGAAGAAAGCTGCAAAGAAGAAGAATATAATAATTTAAATTAAAAAATCGCCTCTGGGGACAGTTAGGTTACAGGACATTTCACCTAGTTTTTCTGCCTATATAGAAACATAAAGTAATTAAAAAAAATACGATGGGTCCTAACAGGAAAGGGGTATTTAAATATAATAAATACAAAACTTATCAACAAAGGTCAAAAATAAAAATAAAATTAGCTGGGGACAGCAAATGTACATTTAACGAAAATTTGCCCATATTTTACTTTGGTAAATATGCACCTTCTTATATACAGTATGTCAATAGAAGGGGCAACAAAGAGGAACAAAAATTATTTTACATTAATCAAAAAGTTGCATTTCTGATAAAAGTTTTCGCTCGATTTTAAACCCCCTAGAATATGCGACACAATATTTTTATTGTCTGTTTAATATGCAATTTTTCTGAAATATTGTTGATAAAAATCACTTTCATTTGTCATTTTCTTTCCAACAAATGAATGTTATAAATATAAGTACAAAAAAATGCATAAAACGGCGTTAAAAAATTAAAAATTGCAAATTACCCATAGACAACAAAAAGGATGTTTCGCATACTCTGGGAGTTTGAAATCAAGCAAAAACTTTTATAAATAATGACATTTTTTGAGAAATTCCAAATATTTTTCCCTCTTTGTAACCTCATCTGTGGAACTGTATAGTATCGAATGTTAATGGCATTAAGTAGAAACGATTTTTAAGATTTGATGAATCATACAATTTTTGTTACATGACAAGAAAACATTTAATTTAAATATTCTTTGAGTAATAAATAATTCATTTTAGAACTCATATAACTCAAAACTTCAAAGAATGTTTTGCTTAATAAGTTATTACTAATAACCAATTTCTCTTTTTTAATGAACTTTACAAAATCGCTTGGTTATGTTCTCATTAAAACTGAATTATCAAGACCAATACACGAGATATGAACAATTCTTACTTTTTCTTGAAGAATAGGTATATTGCGCAAATTGTAAGATATATCCAAGGCTGTTTGACTAATTCATTCAAAATATATGGTCGAAAAGGTCAAGAAGCAAATCCAACGAAAACCTTGTAGAAAATTTAATAACGAACATTTTGATATATTCATTTAGGGTTTTAAAATGTCCGAAAAAATTGAGCCGGAGGAAAAAAACTGTTTTTTTTTTCGAAAAAAAAAAAACGAAAAAATTGGTATTTTTTTTTAGAAAATTTGACTTTTTAATTTTTTGAATTTTATTTAAAGGTTAATACGAAAAAATGCAAAAGTAAATTTTTCTGAAAATTTACAAATTTTTACGAATAATATTGAGAAAAAAGTGAATTTCCGACGCGGAATTTAATTATAATACTATGATTACCTATAATATTAATTCCTTTTATTTTAATTCAGTAAGAATATTCTACCGGTCCGCAAAAAAAAAATATTCGGCGCTGTATTAACACTTTTATTTGACACTTCCATTTATAAAATTATAATTTTGTAATTTAACTTCATAAATCAATATTTTATAGTTGGACATTTTTAATGGACTTCTTTTTGCAAAGAAGACCCAACCGATAGTATATTTAACGTTTAAATCATTTTTTTTTAATTAAAATAATTTTAAGTTGTTCATGGCTACTTTTCTTCAAATGTGTAATTTTATAAAAAAAAAACAATTTTTACCAAAAAGGCCAATTTTTCCAAGGCCTGGGAAAAACACGGAAAAACAGGTTTTTCCCCAAATTTTCCGGGGACACTTTAAAACCCCTTATTCAGACTCCAAAACTTGTTTAATCTTCACGTTTATTTTCGAATTTACAAGAAAAATTGCAAAATTATCATACTTTTGCTATTAAACCACATATATGAACCATATATATGACTGATATCAATTTTTTGATAACATGATTTGGAAAAACTTAAAACGACGTTATGATACGTAAAAAGTCAATAAAATTGAATTGTTGTGTTGTTTTATTAACAATAATACAAATTGCTAAAGAAAACAAAAATACAAAAGGTAATGCAAACTGTAAAACGGTTTTATATCAAAATATTTAGTATTGTGAAATAGGTTAAAAAATATATGCCCCATCAAATCTTAAACATCGTTTTTACATACGACCATAATTACTTGAAATATATATTTAACCATTAAAAAAACAGCTATAGCTATAATTTAACAATTCAACTCATAACTAAGGACTAAAGTCTAAGTATGTTCAAAATCTACACTAATTTATAACTGTTAATTTGTGTTAAGTTACCTAGCTGCTGTCCTTAAATTCGGGCCAGTTGCGATCGTGACTTGTCGAATTTTGCCAGTACTCCTAGTTAAAAATACACATACATGCCAGTTAGTTCTGTTATAATTAGTTATAAATCGTTAACTACTTTTACACATTCTTTAGATACCAACGCGGTAGTTTTGTCGTTTAAATAGCTTCACAATAAATAATAATAAACTTCACAACATGCAGATATAAAACACTTTAATTAAGAAAGACATGACAAAACATGCAAAAGTTTTTTTAAAAGGAAAATTTACCTAGAAATAGGTATTTTTGACTTGCTAGATCGTGAAGCTGTCCTGTTAGTTGCAAAAAAGAAAATGTTAGTACACTCAATTCATCAAAAACACTCAAGATAACTTTGGCTCGAGTTAAGTCAAAGATCATCTAAATATTTAAATCAATGGAATAAAAGATCCTAATATGGGACAGTTAAGTACTGGTTGGTTTTTATATTGTTATTTTTTTCTCATTCAGTAGAAAACAGCTTAATCAAAATCTCTGTGGCTTTGAGTTGTACATAACTGATCCATAATAGAAACTTTTATTCAATCATATTAATAATATTTCACAAGTCACACACAAAACCATGCAAACGAACAATATGTTTACCCAGAAGAAAAGCTTATAGAACATGAACTAGACGTAGATGGCGATTCGGGATCTGTATCCCCACTATTCCTTCTGTACACAGGTATGCGAGACCTTTTCATCAACAATTTCGATTAAAAATGTGTCCCACAATTTCGGAAAACGGGTTTGCCAAAAAATAATCGGTTAATTTGGTTGTTACAAAAATGTGTCCCACAATTTCGGAAAACGGGTTTGCCAAAAAATAATCGGTTAATTTGGTTGTTACACAAAATCTACTTTGGTTTAGATGGTTATACGTGTAATATTGTTATACAGCATGTAATCTGTACTTAATATAACCAACCCCAATTAAAAAATTTAACGAACGAACCTAATGATCAGGACAACAAGCATCTTCTTGTTTCAGTCTAAAAGGTTCTTGTTTTTTGCTCCTGGAATTGTTTAAAAATAAATACATTTTGGTTTTTTTTGTTTAATTGCCAATTAGTAAATGTATTTTGTCCAGTGTTGCTATACCTGTACATTATATTTTTAATTTGTTTTGTGGCACACCCATTTTCATGCAGTTTTCATAAATCTACATATCTACATTTTTAAGCTTATTAAGTTTGAACATCTACTCGACATATGACCAACAGGAAGTTAAAGACCCATCACCAGACTAAATCCACACAACCAATATTATTAGTAATTAAGAAAAACAGTATTTTACTTATTAAATTAACGAAAACCTATTATTTCTTCCTAATTTATTGTAAAGTTTATTCTCAGAGAAATTCACATTTTTTGTAATAAAATTGGTCCAGATAAAGTACTTTAAGTGGAATAATGTTTCTCGTAATCGTGATTCTATATTTTGGTTGAGTGTATATTAAATACGGTCATTTGTAGAAAGATTTTCAAAATATCGTGTAAATTGTTTACCTTGTATTGCTATTGGTTATTCCCGTTAGTGATGGAATGCTTGACGCTCTAGGTATCCCCGACGATCTGTTATGGTTTTAAGAAACATGCCGACTATTAGTAACATTTAAGGTAGATGAAGAAGGATGTAACATGTATTTAATAATAATGGTTATGGCATGTCATGTTTGTAACATTCTTAAACTACCAACATAAGGATTTCTGTTGAATTATGTTTAATTTTAATACTACTGTTTTAAAATTTTAATACTACTGTTTTAAAATCATGTACCAAGTTAACAGTCATATGTATACAATTATTCGCTTACCTAGCTGCAGGACTGGCTGGTGAAATTAATCCAGATGGCGTTCTTGATCCATTGGTGGTTTTCCTGGCGGAAGAAATGGTTGAACTTGTTCTCCCTGAGGTAGGCGTCCTTCTTGGTATTCTGCTCGGGGTTCCATCATCTTTAAAAGCAAAACGAACAAAATAAATAAAACGCTTACAACAAACCAAATGTTTTTTCTACCTGCACTATCCAGAGATAGGTTGGACCCATGCCTGGATGGTGGTTTGCTTCCGGGTCTGCTTCCCGTTCTGGACGCAGGCCTGGAGTTGTTGCTGGAACCTCCCGGAGTCAATCCGGACCTGTACGATGGCCTTCTTGGCGTGCGGAAAGACGATTCATTGTCTGATAGAGAGTCTGGAGTTCCGGCCGAATAAGACGACTTATGCGTTCTCGGTAGACTTCCCATTGGTACGGACCTTTGGGAACGTTCTCTGACCTACCAAGATACCATTTAATGTTATTTTTTGTCTTAAATTCACGGTATAGTTAGTTTCGTGCTACTGGTCCAAAAAGTATCAGATGAATTGATAATTTTTGAATACAACAAATGTAAGAACCTTCTATGGTGTTATGATGCTAACAATGTGGGTGCTGAAACACTAACACTAACATTGCACTTAAGAAGGTTCCTATTGCAAATTATAACAAAAAATCTAAAAGCGAATACTGTTCTAACACGATACTTACCAATATTGTCCTTACCTGATCCGGAGATGTCAAAACGATCTTCAATAAAAAGTTTTACTTGAATTATTACTTTACTTAACAATAGGCAATGAATGAAACTTTATAGCCGAAATGGGTGACTGAAATTTGGTCTAATTTTTATGATGTCTTACCTTGGGGATACCTACCAATGGGACTTGCGACAAATAGAGTAATTTGTGGTGATCTCTCTCAGGACCAATAACAGCAACTGCATAAATCAATCAAAACGCACTATTAAAATACCCAAAATGTACGAGACGTTTGCGTATTATTAGTAGTGCATCATTCATACTTGGGACTAAAGAATTTGTTCAAAATTAATGATATGAATTTGCGGATATATTGGAGGATAACACTCATGCTCATGCATAGAAAGTACTCAGTACAATTGCCTGCTTGTGTTGTCAAACAAAAATCATAACTATGTACAAAACAAATGACTATGCTATGTACACTATATGTAAGTGTTGTATTTGTGATTGTGACAACAAAATCAGTCGAAATTGTACAAACAACCTGGCCTTAAAAACTAGAACAAACCCACACCGAGTGTGTAAAACAAAACAAAACAAAAACGGACATTATAGTAGAGTGTGTATATTACCCAATGACAGGTGTTGGGATTGACATGGGCCATGTGAAGAGTGGGACCAGCTGTCGAGCCGACGTGCAAGGGATACGCGTTGCCAAATTCTCCTCTAGCCCTTATCTGTTCGAATATTGGCATCAACTCGGCCAGATGTTCATGGGCTACATGAACACAACACATGCAAAAATATTGTTCATAAGTTGTTCGAAAAGTGTTTGAATGTTTTTGACCAAGGTGTGCACTGTTCAAAATTTGCACCACTACTTTAAATCTAATGGTTAACGTTAAGTTTAATACTAGAAAATCACTTATAGCAATTAAACTAAGCAGAAAGTGTTTTACAGTCCCCTTATCCTTACAATACAATTGTTTAAAAATAAGCTAAATAAGCTTTAATCCAAAAAAAGTGCATCTAAAGTGCCAGTGTCTTAAGCCGTGTAAGTGTCTGTGTATTAAATGAATGATAATATGAACACAATAGACAACAGGGGTGACACTTAATAATAATTAAAATTCCGCCGATAAAAAAAATAAAATTCTGTTTCTCCTGAGGTTAGTGGGTAATAATAAATAAATCGACTTACCTTTTTTGTCATTTTACAAATACCTTAACAAAGTGTAACAAAACATGCAAAATACTTACAGGTGCATCGCCAACTAGTACGTACAACAAGCAGGTTCTATGATTACAAGATGCAGAACAGTATAAATGTAAAATGTCGTAAAAGACATGGAAAAAATATACACATTAGGACGATTTACTTATAGCTGGGATATACACTCATTAAGGTTTATTCTTCCACTGATGTCAAATATTTTTTCAATGTCTTCTAATATGAGTACCAAGAATGTAAACATATCTCTATAATCCAAATGTAAAATTACCAATCAAATAATCTAAAAAGGCCCATCAAGTTGGGTTTAAAGGAGACAATACAGTTTGGATTTAAAGAGTTTATGTGCATGGAAAAGGACCAATGTATGGTTTTGCCAAAACTATATGTGCATTCAATTTTAATCCAGGTAACGGTGTTCATTAACATTATAACGTTAACAAGTATGTAGGGTGTCACCAAATAAGTCATCCTTATATTATACTTTGAGTTAAAATTATCTTTAGTTACAAGATACTTTAAAAAGTATCTAAGATACTATATGAAAGTATCTAAGATACTTTTGAGTAACTAAGATACTTTTAAGTAACTAAGATACTTTTAAGTAACTAAGATACTTTTGAATAACTAAGTTACTTTTAAGTTTGATTATTTCCCTCATTATAATATGAACCAATCGAAAGCCTTGAATTTTCGAATAAATTTCGTTTAAATAAGCGATTAAATCACTAGAACTATTTAACAGCGATTAAATTTTAGCCTCCATATTGGATTTTTGTTTACGATTTTATGGTGTTATTTACAAGTTTTAACAAACATTTTTTAAAAAACAATAAAAAATAAGTTATCTAGTTTACGAAATATCAATTATTACTTATTACATACCTTAAATTAATGGAATTTTCTTTAAAAAAATATTTATGAATTTTGACACATACGTCAGATTTTATGAATTGTCAAATAGTTTCCTTTAATTCGAGAAATAATCTAGACGTATATCACTTAACCTATAAATTTAATCTGTCAAACTATGCTCAGTAAGTTTTTTATTTGATTTTTCTTTTTGGAAAATAGTTTCATGCAAAATAATTAAAAATAAAACCCCTCGACCGCTACGCGGTCTCGTGATTTTATTAAATTATTTTGCATTCAACATTTTCCAACAAAAACCAAACAAAAAACTACTGAGTCTAGTTTAACCGATTAAATTCATAGTTCTCGTGATATAATATATGAATAAAAACAAGTTGTGTTGGGTAATTACTTTGAATCATTCTGGAATTCCCTCAATTTTCTCTAAGAAAGTATCTAAGTTACACTGAAAAGTATCTAAGTTACACTGAAAAATATCTAATTTACTTTAAAAAGTATCTTAGTTACTTTAAAGTATCCAAGTTAGTTGAATGTGTCTTTTTTTTCAAGATACGCCCAGCTCTGGTACTAAGTAGGTATAGTCTAAATCTAACCCTTTAAACGTAAGAAAGAAAGACAAAAATTATTACAAAGATCAACAAGACGTTAAATATCAGAATCTTGACTGTAAATTTTAGAAAGATTTCAATGTGGTTAATCCAAATTACACCTCTGAATTACTATATAACGTCAAAAAACGTTCATGTCATATTAAACCACATTATTTTTATTCTCACAAAACTTGTTACGCCCTCTGAAAAAACAGATCATTTGCTCTTTGAAAAATCGTTATTTTTAACGTGGTGAATCCAAATTCTACTTATGGCGTGATGTTTTTGAAAAAGTATATTTGATGACAAAACCGTTTGGAGAAAAAATTCATAATGGGGTAGTTAAATTTTTTCTGACCTATACTTTTTATGGTTTTATTCAAGGCGTTTTGTAATTTTAAGCATTTCTGTGAAATCGGAATTTCAATTGAGTTTACCGTTTTCGAGATATTTACAAAAAATATAAATTTTTATGACGTCACAAATGTTTAATATTACAAAACGCCTTGAATAAAACCATATAAAGTATAGGTCAGAAAAAATTTAACTACCCCATTCATTAACGTATACAGCATACAACCTACACCTAAATTCAAATCGAATGCAGCACGTGTTTTGGTCTAGATTTCGGGCGGTATGAGTGTTGATGGGGGTGCAGTACCTTGGTGATCGGCCCTTGGGGTGTGCGCAGTGACGATTGCGAGGACGCCGATGCGGGACTCGAACTCGACGGTTTAGATTTGAATGCGGTCATGGTCTGAGACACGCCGTCGGCTAGGATGAATTGCTCGCGTAGTTCTATGTTGGTGCGACCCTTGGCTGTGAGAGTGTGAAGGGGTTACGAGGTACCGAGGGTTAAAGGAAACAGATCGGGTAAGGTCGTGTTTTATCGGTAGTGTCCGAGAAGGAGAGTAGGGTTGAAGAGAAAAAGAGAGAAAACAAACAAAACAAAATAAGCAAATGTACTAATCAAAAATAATATAATGCAAGCTACATTGATGCTAAGATCAATAGAGGAGCAACAACAAAATGTATTAAATCCATTTTAAATATTTTGACCAGTTTTTAATAAAAGATTGACTAACATATTTAATGTAAATCGTAAAAATGGATTCAATGCGTTTTGGTCAATTGCTTCTCAATGTATCTCTCCATCTATGTAACAAAAGTATGTTTGATAAATTGACTTTACTTAAATATTCATCATGTTATTTATCAAAAACACCTTTATTTCAAATAATAATTCTAAACTAAAAATGTGTAAAAACCAAAAATCCAAATCAGTAGTAAAAATCACCACAAGAAAAAATTAGTGTGAATGTGTTAATAAAATCATGCAAACTTCAGATAAAAATCAAATTAAAATTACAAATAATGTGCGAAAATGGCTACATACAGTTTTAGTACACAATGTTTTTTATGAACATAAAACCATCCATAGATGGTCAAAAAATCAGTTGATAAGTGAAATAAAAAATTAGCATTGATGATATTTTATTTTTTTAACCTTAACATGATATATTGTAAAGTTTTCAGTCTGAAACAGAGATAGCGTTGTTATATTTCAAGTGAATCGGGACGATTTTTGACATACTAAAAATCACTGCAACACTGCACAGCTTTGGATTTGTGCTGTTTATACTAAATAATAATAATTAAACGTTGTGTTTCTTACAGAGACACTTGTAAGCCTCAAATAAGGCCTTTAAGTGCTAAGAACGACCATTTTACTCTTTTGGTAAAAATAAACCTTAACCATAACCCACAAATTTAAATTTGACAGTTTGATGACAGCCCTGATAGAATAAGGTTAATTTTTTACAAAAGGAGTAAAATGGTTGTTTATTAAAGGCTTACACGTGCCTCTGTAAGAAACCAACGTTTAAAACGATTTTTAATCTGTATAAACAGCACAAACCCAAAGCACAAGAATTGTAAACAACATAAAAATGGCCGCCGTTAGATTCTGTGCAGTGATTTTTAGTATGCGCGAAAGGAGATAGAACATACCTCGTTGTGTGGATTGTGGTTTTAAAATACACAACTCTGACAGAAATTAAAAATTACTAATTTTTAATTAGTTTTAAATTTAAGTTAAAAAGTTAAAAAAAGTAATTAAAGCTCGAACTTAAAATTTTTACACGTCTCAAACTTTTTAGAATGTCATCTAAAGGTTTTGTATGAGATTCGCGTTTTGTCCCTCGCTCTATAGTGTGAAATATACAGGTATTTCTCGATTTGTCCTTTTATTAAGGAAAAGAGAAATGTATATAAAATAGAGAAAAACGAAACTATATAGAATATTTGAAGATAAAAGAGAAGACATATATGTATATGACCTGCACAATAGCAGAGCCTAAGTTTTAAAGAAGAATTTTGGTTGGTTAAATAGCCACAGTAGCTAAGGCCAAAGATAATACCTTTGGCTAAGGCCATTTAATGTACAGAAAAGATAAGATTTTGTCTGAAATATGAACTAACCACATCTCTGTTTTAGGCAGGAAAAATTGCAATATATAATAACCAAGATAAAGGGTACCTATCAAAGTTGAAAGTTCGTTTTCGAACTTATTAAATAACTTTAAAACAAGTAAAGGTTTTTGAACAAAATTAGAGGATATAGCTTTGTTGTGATTTGATAAATTAAAAAATACAGTTACTTCTTTTCTTTTCGCACATTATAAATTTTGAAAAATTGAAATAAAAACAAGAAAAACTATAATTTTCGTGCACTCCTTACCGAGAGGGCACCATGGTTCGTGCTGTTCCGGTATATCGGGATGAGGTATAGGCAAAACTAACGTGACTATTTTTTTTGTAATATTTTGTAAGCATGTATGTGCAAAACAATGAGTGAGGCGTGAGTAAACAAAAACGTAAACCATTGCAAATTAAACGTGTACAATAATAAATAAAACAAATTAACGGAGGGGGTCAGTAGTAGGGGTGGGGAGAAAATAAATGTAATTAGTAATTGTGATTTATAAAGCAGGTAATAATATTGAAGCAAAAGTTGTATTTGTATTTAAAAAAATATATATTTTGAGGCACAATTTTTGCTTTAATATTTGTAATTAATTAGTGTTTATATTAGCATATGAAGTTCCTAATGATGATAAGCATTAAATACAATATTTGTTGGAGAAGGCAAAGCTTTGTGCTTTGTATAAAACGCTCAGGAGACGCAGTTAATAGTTAATACATGAGTTTAGTTATTTTTAGATGACATCGATGTTTTTATTATTTTAAGCGATATTATTTAATGGTTTTAATTTGTACACCCTGGTAAGTAGATTAATTATTATTAATCCCCTGTTATTATCTGTAAATAGTGTTGTAATAAAGCCCAAAATATGATTAGGTACTATGCTCCACACCTCGTGACCACGTACGGAACGCAGTCTTTTGAAAATTTGGCATTTAAGGCTTTTCAGGTTATGTATCTGCCAAAGTATAGTCAACGAAAGAAATAATATTATGTTTAGGCGTTAAAAATGTATAATTCTTTATAACATTACAATAACAATGGATGGTTTAAGAATTTAAGAATATAAATACGGCATTTAATGAAATTCTAAAGTGTATGGTGCCAAATAAGTAATATTTTTGTGCATTTGGTCCAAATATCTGGTTTTCTCCATAAAATAATTTTAACTAAACAGCATTTATTAAAAAAAATCTAGCTTCTCTATTATGGAATAAGAATATCTGTATTAAAGACAGGTTTATATATTATAACAAAAATATCATCTAATTTTGTAATTTTAAGGTTAGAAAAATTTATTTTGACCAAAATAAATAAGTATTTTGGATTATTTAAAAGACTGTATAATATGGTATTTAAAAATGTGGTAGTTTTTCTTATCTAGCTTAAAGTGTACCTACATAAAGTTTTGTCAATAAAAATAGTTAAAAAGCTTCGACTGAACTTGATCTACATCGAAAAATCCGAGAAAAAATCATTATAACTTTAAAAATTGTAATAAATCAAATGTCATGGGAGTATTAAATATTTTCACATTGCAAGTTTCTCTAAATATTGTTTGTTTTCTTATAATCTAACTTAAAGTAGGTATGCCGAGGGGTATGCACAAGTTTTGTCTTCCAAATAATCCACTTATTTATTTTGGTGAAAATAGATTTTTCTAACCTTAAAATACAAAATTAGATGATATTTTTTGTTCTAATACATTAACCTACCTTTGATACAGATATTCTTATTTCATAATAGAGAAGTTAGATTTTTTTTAATAAATGCTGTTTAGTTAAAACTATTTTATGGAGAAATGTAGACCCAATGCACAAAAATATCACTTATTTGCACCTTACACTTTGGAATTTCATTAAATGCAGTATTTATATTCCTAAATTCTTAAACCAACCATTGTTATTGTGATAATATAAAGATTTATTAACTTTTAATGCTTAAACATAAGCGGTAACACTATAAATATTATTTCTTTCATTGACTATACTTTGACAGATACATAACCTGAAATGCCTTAAATGTAAATTTTCAAAAGACTGCGTTCCGTACGTGGTCACGTGGTGGGACTTTGAGGTGTGGAGCATAGTACATATTTTCTGAGCTTAATTTTAACAGAAGGTAAATATACGATTAAATTACGCTGTATATTTACACTCTGAAATAAGGTATAATATTAAGGTGGGCAAAAATGTTTTGGACTTACCTCTGCACGGATCGTTCTTCAACAAGAACTCATCTAAGGCGACCCAACCGCCACCTACACGTACCATCACGGTACTACGCAAAATACGGACCAGGCGAAGTTTTTGACTTTCACCGAACTGAAACAAATTAAATCATGATGTTAATAGTTGTGCGAAATATTATTATATTGTAGTATTTACTCTGTATTTTCCCTCTCCAACTTGCAAGACCTTGAATCTTTGCCTGCAAGTGCAAAGCATTACAAGACGTTTGACTTCGTCGTGAATCTTTTGGGCATCATTGTCTGGAGCCTTTTCCTCCCAATCGGGTCTTAAAGCAGCGATAAACTTCTTCCAATCGATGAGACCTCTGTTGTCCAAGTCAAACATGTCAGCGACATGTTTCATTTCAAGGCGAGATGTATCGAATTCTGCAAAAAGTATGTTAATTAAATACACTTTGAAGCTAAAAAAATATTTACTAGTCTTGATAATTCCATCGATGAAATCATCTCTCGGGATCAACTCGTTGTTATCCTTGTCCATTTTCCTGAACAAGTCTGTGAGCCTGGACTTCTTGTAGTTCATGAATTTCAAGAAGCGCTTCCTCCAGTCGTCCCAAGAGAAGTTGTCGGCCTTTTCTTTTTCCTTGAGATAAGCCAGGTGGTCGTTGAGCTCTCGTTGACGTTCCCATGACATCATCCACACGTGACGCCACTTGTCGTACAAGAATTTGACACGTGGTGAACGGAATTCGGGTTCGCTAAAGATTAAGTATTGTCAAAATTGGTTACTGCAAAATAAATTAGAGAGAACAGAAAACCACAACCAAAAGAACTTGAATAACTTACCTACCTACCGTTTTAAAATCAGACGAGTGTTAAGTAAAATTAAAACTACTGTCAACAATTCTAAATAATCTAAATTACAACTAGTGTTAGTGAAGTGTTTTAGTGGTTTTGTGTACTTATATTATTCCTAGGGTAATGTGATGTTAAACTTAAATCCCTGTAATATAATAAAAAAAATAAAGTACCTTCCAGCAGGGAATCTTGGGCCATAGTGAGGTAATAATGGATCTGGACTAAGTTCACGACCGGGACTGGCACGACTGTGAAAACAAATAAAGACACATGCAACACTGATGATTCATAAAACATTTTTTTTAATATCATCAAAAAAGAAGTAGTTTTGAATTATATATCGTATTCTCACGTGAAAGATTAACGTTAGAGTGGGCCGAATATCCGCTTTTTGGGGTTAACAAAAATTATGTGCAAATGCAAAATGCACATTATAGACCAGGCGGAGAAAGCACATATTATCAACGAGCATACATTTCACGCAGTAGATTGTGTGCGAGGCAATTAACAAGCTTTCGCCGCGGTGTTTTATATACTTTTTTCTTCAGGAATTTAAATAAACAATTTCTTAACATTCTGTCACATTATTATTATTAGGTTAGCTTTATTTCTGTACGGAGTTTAATAATATGAAAATTATTGTACGCTTGACAAAAATTCGTTCACGCTGTGTTAGAAATTTTAATTCTCTACAAAAAGGCCCCTATCAATTTTGATGCAAATATTGTAATTTTGCAAATAATTGCCCAATTTAATTAATTAATTTTATCCCAAAATTTAGGTATTTTAATTTAAAAAAAATTGTTGTGTAAATTTTGTTATTAAATATTAAAAAAGTTCCTTACCAATAATCGCATAAATATTGTAGTTTCAGAGATAATCGCCATTTAATTTCAAAATTATAATATATAGACAAATATATAAATGTTATTTATAAAAGTGACATAGCAGCTAGGTCATAGCTTGCCAAAGAACCCTAGAACCGTCATAACTTTTTTAAATTAAAATCTACTAATTTGACTACCTATTTCATTAGGTAGAATTTGACTAATTATTAGTGACTGATTTTTGGCTATAAAAATTAGTCAAAAACTTACAATTAGTAATTTTTGAATAATTCATTTCTAGAGAGTAGCTTAGTAATGGGAAATTTATTGAAGAATAAAGTAAAGTTTTTGTAAAAAAAAAATAGTTTTGAAATAAAATGTCGATTATCTCTGGAAGAAGAATATTTATGTTAAATTAAATTTTTAACAAACATTTTGCTAAAAAAAAAATTAAAAAAATTTACAATTCCAAGATTTATTAGCAATCTCTGGTTCAAAAATTGTCACATGATAATTGATGTTTTGTAGACAATTAAGTTTTCAAACAAATTATATTAAACAATTTTTTTTACTTTTAAAATATGTTTTGCTATAACATTACATTAACGTCAAAATTGATAGGGACCTTTTTTTGTTGACAATTAAATTTCCTAAAAGATAAATTTTAAGAGCATTTAACGAGCCTAGGATGTTGACCAAATAATTTTTTGCCATATTTTTTTTATTATTATATTTTGCAATTACAAATTAATTTAAAAAAAGAGGATATTCGATCTCCCTGCATACAAATGGTTTCCACAAATAAGAGGGCGCTGATGTTTGGTTTTTAATTAAAGCGCCGTAAGTGGTGAAAAAAACACGTAATTTGTACGATTTACTAGTTAGTACAGGTTCTGCCAATTAACCCTAAACAAATTTTTTATACAGTTAAATGCAAAAAATATTGATTTTACATATTTGACTTAATTAATAATTAAACCGTTAAAGTGACTTAGTATTGGAATCATTTTTAAAAGTAAATTAACTTAATAATAACGCAATGCGTTGTAAAAAGGCATTTTGGAGTTTAACTATCAAACGTAAGCTGTTTGCACCAAAAATGAAAATACGGTATGTGTTTGTAAAAGCTTCACATACAAATATGTATAGTTAGGTATACTACTTCTTCATTGAATTAATTTTACAAATAATTAAAAAATCCACTGGATATTAATAAAACGACAATTTAAAATAAATATAAGAACACTGTGCGACACGATTTCTATACCTGAAATACTACTTTTCTGATTTGATTCTGCGCGTCAAAAACCGGAAAGGTAAAGTCTAATCAGGTATAGAAATTTGGTTAAATTTGTCGAACAGTGTTGAGCCCAAATAAGTGAAAAGCAAATTACTTAAAACGAATTGTTAGAAATTAGTATTCAATCTGCCTCGATAAAAATGGATTAGTATGTTATAAAACAAAACAAATGAAATTCGAGCTAACCTTCCTTTCTGCGATAGCAGATCTCTGGAGCCTTTGAAGCTAAAATGAGAAAAAAAACATCACAATAAAGCACAGGCGAGTCAAAAATGCAAACAAGGGTGAAATAAATCGATACGAAACTGTAATTGTTAGGTAAACGGATGGATGGAAAATGGTTAAAATTAAAACAATTTTTTTTCTGACTATGGTGAAAAGGGTGCACTATGCGACATACCTTTGTTTTCTGCCAAGAGAGCCATAAGTATCGGGTGAGTGCTCACGAATATCTTGCTGAGAACCGCGGCTAATGTAAAGTGAAATGCAACAAACACAAAATAAGTGACATGCTAATAAAATACACAAAATAGAAATGAGTATGTATATGCGTGTGTGTGTGTGTGTGTGTAACATAATAATCTGTGTTCAAGCTACATATCAAAAAACAAACATCTAAACCATGGTCTAAAGTTTAGATTCTAAACTAAGCAAAAGAAGTAGGCGTGGTTACTTACATGGATTGCTTTCCTTTGGGGAATTTCTTGGCGTCTTTGGCACCAACCGGTTGCTTAACTTGTTTTGCTTTGCAAATTCTGTCGACCTCCGATTGACGTTTCTGCGCGTGCTCCATGAACTCCTTGTGTTGCTCTATAAGTTCCTCGGTGGCGGGAATGTCCATCGGCAGTTCCTCCCTCTTGAGAGCGATGAGGGTGTTTTCGAGCCCCAAAAGCCATCTTATAAGTTCCTCTAGACTCTCGTCCAAGTCTCTAAGCGACTGCATGTGCTCGGAGAGCTTCTTGTGCCGGGCGAGAGCCCATTGCGAGACCTCCTCCCACCTGGACTGAATCACCTTTATCCAGTTCTTGATGGTGTTTATGCTGTCCGGATGAGCCTTGGCGAGTATGCCGTGCGCCAAATCCAAAGTTTGATTCTTTTCGATTTCCTTCTCGCCCAGTTGCGCGCGGAACTCGTCGAGAGCTTTCAATTGGGCGTAAGCGGTGGCTTCGTCTTCGGGAGTGTTCCCGACGAACCTCAACTTCATCTCCGCCTCGGAGAGCCAATCCAAAATCATGTTCACAGATTTGTCGAGCCGTTCGGCCTCCTTCAACGCGTCTCTGAGCTTGTCGCTCTTGGCGTACGTAAGCGAAGTCACCGACTCCCAAAGTTCGCTCAGTTCCACCAATTGGCCTCTAATCTGGCTTGCGTCGGCGCTGTTTGCTTTGCGTTCCAACTCCTGCCCGGTTCTAGTAACCGATTCCATTTGCTCGTTGCGGCGTTCCAGTTCGCTTTCAAACACCTTATGGAGATCGATAAGGTGGTTCACCGTGTCCAAATCTCCATGTACCGGGTTATCACCGGCAAGTTCTTTTTCCGCCTTCTTCAACCACTGCACCAAAGCAGCGATGGCTTCCTTGAACTGTCCAGAGTACAGAAGCGCTTCTTCGAGCTTTCTTTGCCTGTCAACGCTTTTGTTGCACACTGAAGTCCACTTGTTCTTAAGCTCGACGAGCATTTGCTTGAGGGTTGCCTCGTCGGTTTTGGGCGCCTTTTCCTTCAAATGCTTGCCGGTTTTCATGACGTTATCGTAAGTGCCTTGCTTGGCGGAAATGGCCCGTTGGAATTCTTGGTGTTTGGCCAATCTGCTCTTGATCTTCTCGGGGTTGTTCCCGATGGCGTCGTCGACGAGCTCGTCGAGATTGTGCTCGGTCTCGTCGAGCCAGTTCATCAATCCCGCCCAGGAATCGTGGAACTCTTTAGCCTCTTTGTAGCCGGCGTCTAAAGCCCTCGTGCGCTCGGACGATTTCGACGCCACGCGCTCCCACCTGTGCTGCACGCTGATCAGGAGGTTCTTGATCAGGATGACGTCCTGCTTTTGGCTGAAGTACTTCAAGTGCGTGCCCTTCTTGTCGAGGTTGATCATGATCTCGCGATGGGCGCTGACGTCCTTCTGGAACGCTTTGTGCTCCTCGATTTGAGACTGGATCGTGTCGAGAACTCTCGACACGGGTTTGAGGTTGGTCAAGATCTTTTCGGCGTTCGTGAGCCAATCCACGAACGCTTGCAGCGATTCGTGGAACTCGGTGGCCTCCTTGAGGGCAATTTCGAGCTTAATCTTCTTATCGTTGGCCCTGGTGGTCACGGAATCCCAGCGTTGCTTCAACGTGCGCAAGTTGTGCTGCAGATTCGAGGCGGCATTCGAACCTCTCTTGAGGTATTCTTGCCCCTTGGCGAGAACCGTCTCGACTTTGGGTCTGTTATCTTCGATTTCGTTGTAGACTTCCATGAAGCGCTCCAGTTGCTCCGAAGCGGTTTCCGGTAAGCCTCCGACAGGTTTGCTGGCGGCAATAATGCCGTCAACATCTCCGAGCCAAGCGAGGAGATCCTGGATTTCCGTGTTGAATATTTGGGCTTCGTTAAGAGCATCTTCGAGTTCGCGTTGCGTATTGGCTGCCTTCTGCATCAGAGCTCTCCATTGAGTGTTCAGTGTGTTAAGTTTGTCTTGAGTTACTGAGGCTTCGGCTATAAAAACAATTTACAATAATAATAAACACAAAATTATAATTAATACAAACATACCTCCTCCGCTCTCAATGATATGCCTTCCAGCGTCGTTAAGAATATCAACGCTGGTCTGGTGAGCTTGGATGTCGTTAATCAAAACCTTCAATTTGGCCAATTCGACCTCCAATATTTGCGGATCTCCCGCAACCGGTTTCAACTCGTCTAGAGTCTTGTCGGTTCTCTTGATCCACACGAGGAGTTCGCTGAGAGCATGTTGGAATTGTCCCAGACGCAAGAGGGCGTTCTCTAATTGACGTTGACGTTCGACTATGCCTCTAAGCAGGCTGTCCCAACGTTTGTTGACCGCGTTCAACGGTTCCTTAATGGCCGTGGCTTGGTCTGCTGACGTTCTTTCAGTCAGTTCTTGAGCTTGCCTAGAGAAAATTAAAGTTAGCTGGGGTTGACGATAAAAACCAAACAACAGATGCGGTGAAATTGTTTGGTTAAATCACACAAAAACTGCAAAGCACTGTAAGGCAATTCGTTGCTGGGGAAGCATATTAAGCAACAACAAAAATAGGCCAAAATAGCTGTAAAGCATGGATTTTATGGAAAAGGTGGGACATGTTTCTTAATAAAAATTTTAATATATACATGCCGAAAAATGTTTTTTGTATTTTTTATATTGTCGCTATCTAATTTTAAAACCCATTGGGGAGAACAATAAAGTTACGTAAGACCAAATTTGAAAATTTACATTGTTCTTTGGCTTTAAAATTGAAGAGCAATTTTTGTATTTTCTTTAAAATAAAAAAAAAGAGAATGCATGCTGAGACATGTTTGCGTTATCACAATAGCACGGCAAAAATGCAATTATTTATATGTAATTCTTGCCTGATAAGACTCCTGTACTCCATGGGAACAGAAAATTATAGAAAAATAAAATAAATGTTAGTAAAATACGACGGTATTTTTATATCTATAAAGCACATTTGAAAGTTTCTTTGTAATAAGAAAAAAGTACAAAATTATATAAAATTGTACGAACCTATTTAATGCTTCAACTTTAACCATGTGAGGATCAACCTCGGCCTTGAACTTGTTGAGCTGGTCGATTTGTTTTTTGACTTGGTCGATGTCGGAACCAAGAGGTCCCATTTTGTCAAATTTGTTTTCCGCCTTTTCCAGGAATGCCAACAGATTCTACAACAAAAAATCATTTAGAAACCCAGTTGTCATTGTTTAGCAATCGAGTTACCTGTAATGTTTCGTGGAACTCCATTGCTTTCTCCATGGCGTCTATGAGGTTCTCCTCACGTTTGGCATAGAGAGCGGTTATGTTGTCCCAAGCGTTGTCAAGATCCTCGATGTGCTTCTTGACTTCCGGTTTGTCGGGCTCGCCGCACAGCTGCATCAATTTCTTGCCGCTGCTTCGTACTTTATCCACATCAGGTTTGGTCTGGTCGATTTCTTGCCGGATATCCTGCAAAACGAGTTGCTGCTGCTGGATGGCCTTCGGTTCGACCGCCGGAGGCTCTTGGCTGATGAGAGAGTCCTCGAGATCCTTGAGAGTCGCCATGATGGCGTGCAACTCCTTCCAGAACTTCTGGGCGGCTTCGAGCGCATCATCCAGAGATCTGCCTCTGCTCGAGGTCGCTTTTTGCACGTCGTCCCACAAGCCCTTGAGTTTGTCCAGCTTGCGTTTGATGTCTTTGATGGCCGGGTCGGCGCGGTTGCCGGCTTTGTTAATAACATCGTCGGCAGCGCGTTTTACGGCAGCGTACGCTTCCTTGCGTTTGTCCAAGTCCCCGACAAGAGCATCGTTGTCCTCGATTTGGTCCTTGATCTTGGGGACGTGAGCGGAGATCGGTTCGAGGTTGTTCACTTGGTCGGCGGTGTTGGTCAAAGCGCGAAGCATACCCTCGAGTTTGTCGCTGAATTGAGAGCTGTCTTGCATCGCCTTTTCCAAGGCTTCCTGTCTCTCGCGTAGTTCCAATTTCAACGCGGTGTATCTCGCGTTGTCGCTGTCGAGGACTTCTTGCACTTTAGCGCCGTCATCGTCGTTACACAGACGGATGAGAGCCTCGCCGGTCTTGTTGAGTTTGTCGACAAGTGGTTTGTGCTCGTTGATCGACTGAACGAACATTTCGTTGCGGTCTTGCTGCTGGGCGATAAGGTCGGCTCTCAAGCTTGGCATAGCCAACATGGCGACCTGTTCTTCCATGTCGGACAGCCAGTTGGCCAACACATTGTGCGTATCGTGGAAGTGGTCGGCGAATTGCAAAGCTTGTTCCAAGATTCCCAATCTGTCCGAACTCAAGGCGGATACTGTATCCATAGTCTCTCTCAAGTCTTCCATTTTTTCTCTGATCAGCGTCATATCTTCGCTTGGTGGACTTTCACGAAGCACTTTCTTGGCGGTGGCTAAGACGTCACGTACGCGACCTCTTTGACTAGAGATGTCATCGTTAAGCGCTTTGTGCTCTTTAAGTTGCACGCGAATGACATCAGGGTCGCCTGACGGTTTATCCGCGTCTCTGATTTGGCTTTCGACTTCTCTGAACCAGTCCAAAAGCTCGTCAATGTCGCCTGTCACCTCAAGTGCTCTCTGTTTGCCGAGAGTAATTCTCTCAGCTCTTCTTTGGATCTGCTCGGCGATGGCATCAAACCTTCTATTATCTCTGGAAACCAAACCTTCAATGGTGGCGGCTCCTTCTCCAGGACTCACTTGGCACAGTTTCGGTCCGATAATGTTGATGCTTTCGAGAACAGGTCTGAGTTCCTGCAACTCCATTTCGAGTTTGACGATTTCGGATTCTCTTGGATCGGCGGATTGCAAGATGGACTCCGCCCCCTGCATCCAATCGACCAGTTGGTTGTGCTTATCGTGGAACTTCTGAACCAACGGCAACATAGCCTCGGCTTGTTTCAATAGCTCAGCACCGCGGGAGGTGAGGTCGTTGTATCTTCTTTGCAGCGAATCGAGTTTGTCTTTGAGCTGCAATGCCTCGTCGGATGAAATGTGGCGCATAAGTTCAACGCCAGCGTCCACGGTACTGTCTACATCGCTTTGACGGTTCGCAATGTCTTCGGTGAGTCCAGTTAAGTCGTCCATTTGCTCGAGAAGTTTGTCTTTGTGGACTGCAAGAACCTTGTATCTGGCTAGTTTTTGCTCCATGTTATCCATCCATGCGGCCAAGTCCTGGTAAGTCAACACCAAGTGCCTTAAACCTTGCCTTGAAGCGGAAAGCAACTCACCGATGTGCTCGCTGGCTTCAACCAAGTTGCCATAGCGATCGGTAACTTCTTGCAAGTTGTCAGTGAGAGCAACAGCCTCATCTTCGCCCACAAGAGACATGAGTGCAGATGCGATGTCGGCAAGTTCGCTAAAGTCGGGTTTCTTTTCGAGGATTTCGTTATGCAACTGTCCATGTTCACGGATGCGTTTTTGGATTTTCTCCTCGTCAGTTGGTATGATTTCCATGTCTTTGACTTTCTTTTCGCTGCGGTCCAACCACTCTTGCAGCGGGATGAGCTTGTCTTGGAACTGTTTGGCCACTCTCATGGCTTGTTCCAGGGCGAGAGTGCGTTGTTGGGCGCCTTCGGTTAAATTGTCAAAGCGCCCAATAAGATCTTTGAGTTGTTTTTCGATGGCCTTGCGTTCGGCCGGTTCGGCTTCTTTGGCGATCTCGTTGCCCATGCCGAACAGCGAGGACATGGATCCTTGCCTGTCCAGCAGCATCTTCTTCAAGAACTTTTGTTCTTGCAGCTGAGCCTTCACGACTTTGTAGTCGGATGACGGCGGTTTTTGGTTGGCAACCATTTCTTCCGTATCGGTTAGCCATTTAGCTAGGCCGTCCAAAGCTTCTTGGAACTTGCCGGATTGCAATAAACCGATATCCAATCTCCTCTCGCGATCGTTGATCCTTTGTTTGAGGTCGTTCCACGAATCGTTCATTTTTTCAAGATCTTTTTCCAAAGCTGCGGTGTTAACGCCAATGGCAGCGGATTGGATCAGACCTTGACCCACCTTATTGCAACCGTCGATCATTTTGGCCAGAGGCTCGATGGTCTTCGCTCTGAATTTCTTGAAGTCTTGCTGCTGGGCGCGGATGTTATCGACGTCGGACGCGACAGGTTTAAGTTTACGCACCTGAGAATCCGCACCGTGGAGATCCTCCAAGGCGTTCGAGTGCGCCATGTAGAAGTCTTCCAACTTTTTAAGCGTGTTTTCCAAATCTTTCTCTCGGTTTTGAGCGCGATCGTCCAACTTGCCGAGTTGCTTCTTAAGCGTTTCGACTTGCTGGCGGGTCTGAGCGGTGTCGGGGGCGAAACCGCTGTCGACTAGACGTTCCCCGTCCATAATGGCATCGTTTACGTCGTCGGACGCTTTGCCGATCTTGCTGATGAATCTGCCGACCTCGTCGATTTGATCGTGCACGGTCTTAACGTCTCTGCCTGGTGGTTTCATGTTGTCGAGTTCGTTCTCGAGACCGGACAAGTCGGTGCCGAGTCCCTTGACTTTGTCGTTGAACTGGGTGACGGCAGTGGCGGCGGACTGCAGTTGAGACAGCCTGTCGTCCAATTTACCCGTCAACTCGTCGACGCGGTCGGCCAAACCATCGACGTCGTCTCTTAGATGGTGAGCGTCGATGCCGTTATCGGAACCTTCATTCACTAGATCATCGGCTTGCTTCCTGCATTGCTGCAACGGTTTCTTCAATTTAGCCGTCTCTTCCTTCAACTCCTTGATCCTGTCCAACATTTTGGGATCTTTGGCGCCTCCGAGAGAGTCGTGCGAAGCGAGTTTGTCCTCGCAGCGCTCCAAACCGTGCTGGAGGTCTCTCAAGTTCTCGTTGAAATCGGCCAATTTGCGCGCCTGATCTTCCAAAGCCTGCGTGCGTTCGATGAGATCGTTGTTCAATTTATCCCACCGCTCTTTAAGATCCGCGAGTTCGTTCTTCACTATTTCCTTATCGATGTCGCAGGCGGTTAGGAAAGTGTCGCCTAGAGCGCGCGTATTCTCGTACTCCCCAGATTTTTTCCAGATGTCGTTTCTGAAGTTCTGCAATTCTTTAAGTTGCTTTTCTATGAGCTTGCGTTGGAAGGATGACGGTCTCAAAGTGTCCAATTTGTCTTCGGCTTGCCTCAACCACGGCAGGAAGGATTCCAGCGCTTTGTAATACTTGCGGCAGTGTTCTTTGCAAGTTTGAAGTCTGGTGTGTCTATCCAAAGCCTCTTTGCGTAGTTTATCCCATTGCTGTTGAATTTTATCGACGTCGCGTTGGAGAGAGCGAGTGTCAGAGCGATTATTTCTCGAGAGAAGATCGCGACCTTTGTTTAGAAGCATAATAACTTCGTGTTCTCTAGCCAACACGTCCCTGTAGATTGGCTCGTGTTGGTTCACTTGTTGCTCCAGAACGTCGCGATTGGCGGATATAAGAAGTTTTTCAGACAGCGAGCCGAGTTCGTCGGCCAGCCATCCGAGCGTTTTGGCGCACGTGGCTTCGAATTGCCTTCCGTCGCGAAGCGAACCCTCGAGTTCGGCCTTCTTGTGGTCCAATTTCTTCTGCAAGGCGTTGTACTGCCTGCCGATTTGGGCCAGTTTGGCTTGAATGTCGGCGCGGGAAGCGGGATCGCTGAGCACGTCGCACAAATGAGCACCGGCGGCTTCCAAGTCGGCCAGAAGCGGTCTTTGTCCTTCCAGTTGCCTTTCCAGGTTTTCCACCTTGCGCAGTTGCTCTTCGGGGTCTTTGTCGAGAGGTAATTCATCGAGATTATCGGAAATACCCTGCAAGGCGTCTTTAAGACGGGTAAGTTGGGCGTCAAATTCCCTGCTAGTGTCAGCGGCGGCTCCCAAGGAGTCGGCGCGTTCTTCAAGTTTGCCCAACAAGTCCGCCCATCTCTGCTGAATAGCAGTGAGCTTGTTGTTAATCTTTTGGTGGTCGGGTGAGTTGTTATCCAAGTAGCCCAACACCGAGTCACCGACGTTGATGAGATGCTGCAATTGGGGCTGTTGCGTTCTGAATTCTTCTCGGAGCACTTGCACTTGTTGCACTTGAGATTGCACCATGCGGGAATCGCTGGAAATCGGCCCCAACACCGTCAACATGCGATCTTTGGCGGACAACCACGAAGCGAGAGAGTCGTGGGTGTCGTGGAACTCCTTCATGTCTTCCATAAACTTGATTCTGTTCTTGAGGTGGTCGCTCAAGCTCTTCCAGTGGGAAACGACATCCTCCAACTCGTCGTTAAGATTGTCGGCTCCAATGGCGGAAGGTTTCCTCTTGATCAAATCCTTAACTTGACTTCTGGTGGAATCGAGGAGAGATTGTTTTTCGTACATCTCTTCCAAGACTTGCTTGATTTGTCTGTTCAATTTGTCGGCTTCGTCCTTGTTGCCTGGGACGATGTCTTTCGGCAGTTGCCTTTGCACCTTGTCGAGGAAGGCGCTAAGAGTCCTCAAGTTATCGAGATGCTTCTTGAGTTCTTCGCGGATCGAGTCGATTTCCGATTGACGATCGTTGATCTTGACGCCCAACAACGAGTACCTGTTGTTGATTTCGGAAAGTTGCTGCTGAACTGGAGACAGTTCTTCCAAGTGGAAGCCATCTTGGCTGCTTCTGCGAGACGAGAATCCGCTCGAACCACCTGTTGACAACGGGCTCAAGCCTTTAGTTGGCGATGGTGAGCGACCGTCTTGAGAGGGGCGACGATCTAAACATTAATAAAAAAAGAATGTTAAATACACTCACGTGCAAAATAATCGAACCACACAAATTTTCGATGAATTTCAATCGCAAATAACTTTTTTATTTGATGTCGGATTTAAACGAATATTAAAGAATATTCTAGATAAATTAATGGACAATCGCTCACATTTAAAAAATATACTAAAAAATAGACGTACGTTTATAATATACGGGTTTAAACAAAAAGATGTTTTTACCATAAGTTTAAGACACTCTGTAGAGTGGCTAAACCGTATATTTTTCTAAATTAAGTTTTATTTATCAAGTCACATCTATTCTTAACAGTTTTGTTTTTGGTTCACCTTGATATATTAATTTTTGTGGAAAATATGGATTTTTTTAAAAAACATTGCAATTTCCAATTTTTTCCTGTATGAAGAACTAAGGTTGCTATGGTCCATCCATAGCCTATGGAGAATGACAGTGACAGTTTTGTTGAATCATCCCATACTTGGACATACAGTTTTCAAAAGCTATCAAATTGTTTTTTGTAAATTAATGTGTTAATTTTGAGGTGTCTTCTTACTTTTAAAAATGTCCCCGACTGTTGCCCTTTGTACTTTACTTCTTGTGACGTTTAAAACACTTGCCACGGACTGTGACCGTCCATCCTGGATTAAATTAATAGCTCTGGCAACATCAGTCGGAGACATATCCATTTTATAAAGTAAGAAGACACCTCAAACATTAATTTGCAAAAAACAATTTGATAGCTTTTGAAAGCCGTGTATGACATGTCCAAGTATGGGATGATTCAACAAAACTGTCACTGTCATTCTCCATAGCCTATGGATGGACCATAGCAACCTTAGTTCTTCATACAAAAAAATATTGGAAATTGCAATGTTTTAAAAAAAAAACATATTTTCCACAAAAATAAATATATCGAGGTGAATCAAAAACAAAACTGTTAAGAATAGATGTGACTTGATAAATAAAACTTAATTTAGAACAATATACGGTTTTGCCACTCTACGGAGTGTCTTAAACTTATGGTAAAAAACATCTTTTTGTTTAAACCTGTATATTATAAACGTACGTCTATTTTTTAATATTTTTTAAAATGTGGGCGATTGTCCATTAATTTATCTACAATATTCTTTAATATTCGTTTAAATCCGACATCAAATAAAAAAGTTATTTGCGATTGAAATTCATCGAAAATTTGTGTGGTTCGATTATTTTGCACGTGAGTGTAGTAATTAAAAAATAAATAAAATGATAACTTACTTGATGATGGACGTTTGGTGGGACTGTACGCGCCACGGCGCCTTGAAGGAGAGTCAGGCCTGTCACTTCTGATTAAGTTATCGTATGCGTTGCCAACATCGTTTATTTTATCGATGGTGGGTCCAAAATCTCTATAATCTTTAGCGATGGGTTTCAATTCTTCGTTTTGCTTCTTCAACGTCTCGATATCAACGGCAACGACTTCAAGTCTTGAAACTCTGGTTTCCATTCTGGACAGCCAGTCGTTGACTTGTTCTCTCAAGGATTCGTAAGAGTTCAGCTGTTCGGATCTCAGTTTGGACAACCTAGCCTTCTCGTCCAACATACTGCTAAGTTCTCTCCATTGGTTTTCCATGGCCTTGACTCTGTCTCTAACGTTGGAGGTGTCAGTGACATCGCGTTTGTTAAGAAGATCTTTTCCGGTGCGGATGGCTTCTTCGAACAATTGTTGCTTTCCGTCCCTGTGGGCCGCAATTTGACTCATGCGACTAGCGTAATCCTCAATGGAAAGCTTGGAGAAATCGCGAGAATCGATCATCTCCATGATTCCGGAGTACCAGTGCTCGAATTCGGTGGCTTGGTTGTTGAACGAGCCCAAGTTGTGATTGACTTCCTCCAAAAAGACTCCGCGTTTCTGCGTGCGGTCGAACAGCTTCTCGAACCTGGCTTTGACGTCATTCAGTTTGGATTCGATTTGTTTGGAGACGCGAGCGTTGCTGGAAGAACTAATCAGTTCGCTAGCAGACAAATACACCGAATCGATTGATGAAATGTGCGTATCGATGTCGGATTGGAAGACGCGGTGTTCGCGTAGCTGTTCTTCCAGACGTTCTTTGATGAGGGATGCAGGTCTTTGCATGTTTTTGAACGAGCTTTCGGCTTGATTCAGCCAGTCAATGATGCCGTCAAGGGCATCTTGCACTCCCTGAGATTGGACGAGAGCAGTATCGAGTTCCTGGCACCTGTTCGCCAAAGCATTGCTGAGTTGATTGTACTTGTTTGTTAGATCTACAACTGGTTCTTCCAGGCGAGTTATATCAGATGGCGAAAGCTGACCTTCCAGGGATTTCAGTAAGGAGTTGGTAGCCTAAATAAAAATATGTTACGTGTTGCAACTAGTCGATGATATTTACTTACGTATTTAGCATTATCGATGAGACGACCATTGGCAACAAACTCGTTGTTAAGAGCCTTAGCCTTTGTAAGTTGATCTTCGACGGTTCTTGGATCTCCAGCGATGGGTTCGTTAAGCAATTTGTTTGCTCTTGGTTCGGCATCTCTGAGCCATTTTCTGGCTTTGTCCAAGGCATCGGAGTAATCTCTTTGCATCCCTCCAACACCCGATAGACGGTCGGATAAATTGTTGGCGCGAGCCATAAGATCTCTGTATTGTTGCGTAACAAGAGATACGTCTTTACGAACCGGAGATTCTTGGGAGGAGAGAGGCTCGATGTTGTGCAACCGCATCGAGGTGCGGATGTTATTCAAGATGGTAAGATAATCCTAAGATAATGGGGTGGTTAAATTTTTTCTGACCTATACTTTTTATGGTTTTATTCAAGGCGTTTTGTAATTTTAAACATTTTTGTGAAATCGGAATTGCAATTGAGTTTACCGTTTTCGAGATATTTACAAAAAAAAATCTCCTAATTACGTCACTAGGCTATTGACAACGTTGCCAGCTTTTTCTATGGTTGCCAGTGTGTTTAGTTTAAGATTCTTACGATAGATGGCGCCACGTTATAATATTTTAGTTTTAAAACCACTTGATCTATAATTTTAGTTGAGAAGAAGAAGAAGAATTGATTTTTTGACGTTTCTTTTCGGGTTATGTTTTTTTTAATTTTTTAATTTAGATTATTGAAAATCAATGTTATTGTTATGTTATTTGTAATTGATATTAGATAAGTGATTTATTAATAACGGACTCCAAAGCAGAGGAATCTTGTGGAATGGTTGGTTACATTGAACATTGGAGCTTTTAAACAAATAAAGTAATAATAATCATATTTTGTCGTAAATGCATTTCATTAGTATAATGCCTAGTTCTTTATATTCTTTTAGATATATCTTGGACTCTAAAATAACAAACAGTAATATGATACCTCGTAATAAGGAAGATAGGTACTTAATGAATTTGGTGACCATCTTTCACTCAACTGACAGTGACAGTATTTGTACATAACCTCTTCGGGTATTTTCTGACATAACCGAATGAAATCATTAACAAGACAACTTGACAACAGGGTAATTTTCAACCAATAGAAATCTTAGAATGTTGGTCACATGGCGAGGTTTGTGACGTCATAAAAATTTATATTTTTTGTAAATATCTCGAAAACGGTAAACCCAATTTGAAATTCTGATTTCACAGAAATGTTTAATATTACAAAACGCCCTGAATAAAACCATAAAAAGTATAGTAACTCACCTTTCCTTCGTCGACGAACTTTTGCGCCGAGATGGTGATAAAACGTAAATCAGCTTGATGCGATATAACATCGCTAACGAACTCTTTAACACCATCGGCGCTGGTATCCAGCCTTTGCAGATCGCTGAGCGCTCTTTCTTTATCTTCGAGTGTCCTGCGCGCCTTGCCCAACCAATCGGAGAAGATCTTAAGTTCTCCTCTGAGCTTGGAAAGTTCATCTCTGCTGGAGAGCAATTTGGTCAGCAAGCGACCGGTGCGGTCCACAGCGCTGTCGTAACGAGTTTTAAGGTTGCGCGAGCTCTTTTCCAACGCAGACACATCGCTCTTGGAGAGGATATCTCCGGCTGTGAGAACCAGCTGGCGAACTTGTTCGCCGCAGTGCGCCACAGGACTGGAATGCTGATCGAGGTCGTCGCGGATCTGTTTCATCGTGTTTATCTGGTTGCGCAGCTCTTCTTCGTGCTCGTGGATCACATCCTGGTTGGCTATGCGGCTCTCCACGTCACCGATCCATTGCAAAAGCTTCGAAAGGGTTTCGTCGCAGAGCTTGTATTTTTCTTCGACTACTTGCTGTAATTTTAAATAGCGGTTTACGAAGGGAACTTGTAATGCGGGTGGCTACAGAAACTTGACAGTACAAAGCTTTAACCTAAATTATCCATCTTACTTTACCTATGGGATTAGATAATGTAGGTTTTATTTTATTTAATAAAAAACTTTAATGTCAAGTATTCGGTTGTCTCTAGCATAAGCTAAGTGGACCCTAAACCTAAACTTTCATGCATTCAAAGCACACACAAAATGATCATTTTCATGTTAGTAGTTGTAGAAAAAATATGTTGATAATGTTACCTATTATAAATAATAAAACCTGCAAACAAACTATTTTTAGATGGAAACAATACAAAAAAATATGAATAAAACAAAACATAAGGTACAGTATAATTGCAATACAAAAAAATGTGAATAAACCTATAACTATTTGTTAGGGTACATTGTTATATCAATTAATAAATTAATTTGTTTTTACAATCATATTAGATTACTTCAATACCTGATTAATAATCGCTTAATAATTTAATACCCTGACTTATTATTTGATTAGGTTTTAAAACTTTGAAACTCCATTGTGAACGTGAACTGAGAGAGTGATGGAAATAATGTTTAAGCTCGAATGAAATGGAATCTCAGAATTTTATTAATATAAACAAGCACATACAAGCTAGCTGCAGTTTAATGTGAGACCATCTTTAACCACTTTCAAATGGTTTTTGAAATTGATAAAAGATGGCGTGTTAAATGGATGGTGCATTGGTTCGCCAAAGTGTCGCTGCACTTTTTATCAGCCACAGAACAGGACAACTTCAAGCTGTAAAAAATCATTAAAATGTGTCAGTTGTGAGGGATGATGAGTTTAAATTGTTATTTATTTAGTCTGTTATATTACTTAATTGATTATTGAATTTAAACATTTTAAATTGTACTTCTTAGATGAAGCAGTACTGACATTTGAACAAGTTGATAATGCAATGAGAGGGTTAGAAATAATTTTAAAGTGTGAACGTAAAATTTAACGATCAAATGAATTGGCCATGCCGGAAGCATAATCTCGAGCAATTAATCAAAAAAACATATAAAGCTAAACCATTGAATGCAGAACCAAAACCAGCTCATCTGCAAACAATTTTGTAGTAAATAAACAAGCAAACTTACCCATTGTTCGGCTGGAAGTAACAAACCCCTTTGGTAGGCCTTAACGAAATCAATGTCTTTCTTTTCGCTGACGTCGTTAATTTTTCCTGCCACGGGGTCGACTAGTTTGTCCTGTATGGCGTTTAGTAGAGGCACAACTGCCCCGCTTTCCGTATTTTTAACGACGGTGCTGCTAGGATCAATCAAATGATTTTGTATGGCATTGCCAAGAGTGATCTTTCTCCTGTTAATTATGTCTGTGGTGACGAACGGGTCGTTAAAGCACCCAGTTGTCGGATTATAAATGCCATAAATCGTGGCTTCTATAAGAGTAAAACCTCTGTTTGGTGTTATCAGCAGACCGCTGTCTAGGGCATCTGGCATGGTATGCAACTTGGAGGTCTCAGTGTCTAGGACATTGCCTTTGTCGGCGTCAATGAGGCCCTTCCTGAAGCCGTCGGGTAACTTGATCAGTTTCTTTTTATTCGCGTCTTTAATTAAAACGGTATCCGGGTCGATGTACCCCAAACTGATGGAATCTTTCAGGGTAAGGATTTCGTTGGATTGTGGTTCAGTAAATTTACCCGTGTTTACGTCAAGGTGATTTTTTTCGATGGCTTGCGAGAAAGTTAAAGGCTCTTTCAAATATATTAAAGAATTTTGATCGTAAATGATCACTACAGAAGTTACTTTAAGAGTTTGAGGTTCGAAAACAACCATTTTAGCTTTGTCTAGTTGTTTATCGTCAAGTGCGTCTTGGACTGTTTTAAAACGACCGCTTTGCAAGTCTTTTGTAACCGCGACATTCGGATTTAGTAATTCAAAGTTGATGGCTTCCTCTAAAGTGCATTCCCGAGACGTTTTAGTGGCAGTTTGTTGATCTACTACTTTCTTAACGATTTCTTCTTCTAGAGGTATATCTAAAGTAATTAAGAGACCCTTCTTTAACGCCTCATCAAAGTTGTAAGTTTTCTTCGATTTCGAATCTAGAACACGACCTTTTTCAACGTCGATTTTACCCTGCTCGATGGCAATTGGCAACGACCTAACGCTGTTATTTGTCAAATCTCTGAGGGCAGTGGTATAAGGATCGATAAATTTAATCTTAAGAGCTTGTCTTAAATCGTAAAACTCTCCATTCACTGGGTCAGCGAATTTGCCCGAGTCGGGTCTGTACAAACAATTTTGAACCGCTTCTTCAACAGTTAAGGGTGTATGTGCTGTTACTATCAAACCTTTTTGTTTGGCACTTAGAAGATCAATCGATTTACCATGCGGAAAAACGTATACGCTTTCTTGATCGTTAATAATTTTGGCTTGAATCGCTTCTGGCAATTTTACGTACTTATTCGTTTGCGTGTTTTTCACTATAGAATTTACAGGGTTTACTAATTCGTTTTCGCAAGCCTCTTGAAGAGTGAACTTGCGTCCCGTAGCCGGGTGTATGAAAACGCTCTCTTCAGGTAGGTAAAGACCCATTGCGAGGGCTTCGTATAAACCGAAGTTTGCAGTTTCAATATCCACAATTAAGCCTCTATTAAGAGCTTCGGATAATTTTATTGTTTCTTCCGAATGGGGCACTTTAAATGTGCCGCTAAGTTTATCAATTATTCCCAACCTGCAAGTATCAGTTAAGCTGTAAAGAACGCCTTGCCTCTTATCGTAATAGCAAGGTAATGACGGGTTGATATTATATTTGCGAATTGATTCGTGTAAGGTTATTTTGCGGTCGGTGCTGGGGTCCAGGATTTTACCAGTATTTTCATCATACAAACCTTGATGTATGGCACGCTGTAAGGAGTGCGCAGCCTTATTATCGACTAGTATACCCAAATCGAAAGCTTTTTGTAAGGAAACTTCGTAATTATCCCCTTTAGAAAAGTCTTTAACTTGCCCCGTGTTTCCGTCGACGTAATTATTGAGAATTGCGTCTACAAGCGGAATTTTGCGCCAAATACCGACCCTTGTATCTTTCACGCTTACCGACTCCGCGTCTATCAGTTTAATTTCTATTGCTTCGATCAAGGTTAAGAACGAACCCGAGTGAGGATCCAGGAACATTTGGGAATCTTTGTCGTATATACCGATGGATAGAGCCTCGCTCAACGGGATTGGAGGGCGGATTTCCACCAACAAACCACGTTCAAAGGCTTCGTTAAAGTCGATTGGCTCGTGCCTGTTACTCAAAATGACACCTTCGTTTGTGTCTATCAAACCATCAGTGACTGCTTGCTCGAACGTAACAATCTCTTCATCAATCGTAACTAAGGTGGAATCTGTGTCAACGTAACCGCGATTGATGGCACTGGACGCCTTAAGACGCTCTTTACTCTTAGGATTGATAAACTTACCGGTTGTTGGATCGTAGAAGCCTTTGAACACGGCCTCAGGTAAAGTGATTTGGGTTTTGTATGGAACAATGAGGCCTCTGTCTTGCGCGTCGTAAAAGTTCATTTCAACGTTTGCTAGGGGATCGAAGGCTTGGCCTTTAACGGGATCGATGATTTTAAGCTTAATCGCATCGTTTAGGGTGATTATATCACCGGATCTTGGATCTTTAACCGTTAAAATGTTGGAGTTTACAATACCGCCCTCTATGGCTTGCACTAAAGTTACGCTCATTGTGTCAATAGTGAATTGGCCGGTTTTGGGATCGTAAACTTTTTGCGCCAAGGTTTCTTGTAAGGACCACGGCAACACTGTGCTAAGGATGTAACCTTTAAGATAAGCCTGATCTAATGTCAATATTGGATTGGTTAAAATACCTTTTTCAGCGTCAACCAAATGACTCTGGATGGCTTCGTTAATTTCCACTATTTTACCACGTTTATCATCTTTTATTTTAGTTGTTTCTGTATCAATCAATTTACAGTCAATAGCTTTTTGCAATGTAATTTCGTCACCGGTTATCGGATTTAATATTTTACCTGTACCTGGATTGTAGTAATTCAATAATATAGCTTGAAGCAGGTTAAATACTATTGGTTTGGATCTAATAATGTTCATTTCTAATGCTTTATCAAACGGTATTAAGGCCCCTGTTGTAGTATCTTTAACTTTACCTTCATTCGACAATACTAAATTTGATTTAATGGCATTCTCTAGAGAAACAAAATCACCCGCTTTGGTATCTTTAACTTCGCTTATTTTATCGTCAATAATTTGTCTTTCTATGGCTTGCACAACGGTTATGGGTTTCTTTGTCAAAACGTCAGTAAATTTGCCTGTATTGGAATCGTACAAACCTTTATGTATTACTGCTTGTAAAGATATGGGTTTAGGAATAGCCAAAACATATCCTGAGGTGAAGGCCTCGTGGAACGAAATGGTTTTTTGTGTTGCTGTGTTCACTAAAAGGCCTCGTTGTGGGTCTACAATGCTTTTATCTACTGCTTCGTAATACGGCACCAACTGCATATTTTTAGGATCTCTAATGGTTACTGACTTTGGATCGACCACATTTGAAGTAATAGCTTTTATAAGCGGTAATTTTTCATTGTTTGATGTAATAGTAATGGTTTCAGGATCAAACTGATCAGTTTCTACAATTTCTGTCAAAGTTAAAGGTTGGTGTTTAGTTTTAGGTAAATCATTAACATGGATTATCCATCTTATTTTAACAGCTTCAAAGAAGGAGATTTTTTTACCCGTTCTGGGATCAACCATGTATCCGGTTTTGCGATCGATTAAAGGCCTTTGCATGGCTTCATCCAAAGTTACGTAATTTGGAGTTTTCTTGGTTAAATCTTTGACCAAAATTTTATCAGGATCAAACACACCCAAATCATAAATCAAAGTCTCAAAGGTTATATGTTGACCGGTTTTGGGGTCAAAGAACATTCTAGTCTTAAGATCAAAATAACCCAGTTCGGACAATTTTGCTGGTGTTAGGTATTTGGATATCACAACCAATTCTGAGGTAGTCACTTCAACAAGTTTAACAGTATGATTGTTGTAAACCAATATTTTATCGAGCATTGTAATTTTATTTTGATCCAAACCATCTTGTATCGTGTAAGGTAAAGTATTATTTTGGTAAATAATGCTGCATATTTTGGGTTCTATAATGTTCTGAGAGATAGCATCTCCAATGGGAATTGGAGTCAAATGTTTGGCACCCAGAACTGGTTCTTCAATCTTAGTAATTACCACAGTGGATTTTATTGGCTCTTTAATGGGTGCAGTTTTCACCTTTTCAAGATCTTTTTCTTTCTTCTTTGCAACATGTTCTTTTACTGCTTTAACAGCCGCTGCACCAGCCAGAACTGGAAGTGCAAATGGCAAAGCTACACCACCGACTACAGCAATAAGGCCTTTCTTGGCAGCATCTTTAAAATCGATGCTCTTGCCCGATTTTGAATCTTTGACTTTGCCGGTTTTTGGATCTAGAAGACCTTTCTCTACAGCTTGCCCTACAGTTACAGGTTTTTGTGAATTTACGTCGTAAACAATGGAATTGGGATCAATTATTTCTTTTTCCAATGCCTCTTTAAATGTCAATTTAGCAGTTTTATCATTAGGATCGACAAAAGTACATGTGGTCTGGTCGTAAATGGTATCGTATGCTTCAGCAATCGTCATTTCGCTAACCTTGGTAGAGGTTTCTGTTTGTATAGATTCTTGTGGCGTCGCCAATAAAATCTCATCTTGTAATGCCTCTTTTATCGGTATTTTCTTTCCAGACGTTGGATGGGTATACATGCCATCTTTCATATCCACCAATCCTTTGTTAAGAGCATCGGAGAAGGACATTTGTATATCCTTCAAGGTAGTTTTGTTGGTGGATTCTTTAACATCGGAAATAATACCTTGTTTTATGGCTTCTTCGTACGGTATTATCTCACCGGTACTCAAGTTTTGTACATCTTTTGTGCTTAGTAAAGCGTAACCAGATAAAATTGAAATAGTTTTCGTTGTAACTGTATGTGTGGTGTTGTTTGTTACAGTGGTTGTGGTAATAAGTGGTGATGTATTTGTAAAACGCACATCCTCCGAAGGGTGTTTAATAATAAGCAAACCTTTTTCGATTGCTTCGGAAATCGGTAATAACTCACCCGTGCTAGGCACTGTAAATGTACCCTTTTCAAGATCAAGAAGTTTCGACTCTAATGCGTCGTCGATAGGAATGGATTCGGGACTCACAGGGAAAGGCACTGTCATTATAAAGTCTTTGTTTATGGCTTCTTTTATGGGAATGGTTTGCTTGGTTATAGGATGGGTTATTTCTTTCTTATCCGAATCCACTAAACCTCGTTTCACAGCAACCGGGAATGTCATTCCAGCCGGCGGAATACTTTCTGGACCAGAAGGCATCGACTCGTCGAACACATTTTCGTTTATGGCGCGTTGTAAAGCAACATTTCCGCTTGACGTTTCTACCGTCGATTTCTCATCATCAACTACACCCGTTTCCAGAGCCCTACCTAAAGTTACCTTGTCTCCGGATTTTTTAACTAAAGTACTTAACGGATCTACAATATCACAGACAATCGCTTCACGTATGCTCAGGTGAGCACCTGTTTCTGGATGGACTACTTTCTGACTTTCAGGGTCGATCAGACCCTGATGGAATAATTCGGGAATGGAAAGGCTACGATTTAAAGGCACCAACAAGTCATTCGTACCCTCTGGGTCCAGAATACCACGCGAAATGGCTTCGTTTATGTTCACCAAATCGCCTCTTTGAGGATCCACTATCTTACCTTTGTTGCCGTCCACTTTATTATTTTCCAAGGCTTCCTGCAATGTTAGAGTCTCGCCACCCGGTGCCGTGAATATTTCTTTTTCTTCCAATATTTTCGCGGTATCGCGATCTATTATTCCTTTTTCCACGGCATCTTTGGGTTTTATAATCTTTTTACGTAACTTTTGCAAAACCACCTGTTTGGCTTCGCGTTCGGGACTCAACGATTGCGCTCTGCCTATTTTAACCTTGTAGGTTGGCTCTATCGTTATTCTAGCCCTCGTTTTCTCGGCTTCCGAAGGCATATCCTCGTCATCCAGATATATGCATTCCGTTGTGAGTACTTTAACGTTTGTAGTACTGCCTGGTTTCTCTTTAATTTCTTCAACAGTGGCTTTGGATATTGTGGGAGTGGCTTGGCCAGATTGAATTTTATCGTAAGTAGGTTTGTCAATAATACCTTTTTCCAAAGCCTGCTCGGCTGGAATTTCTTCGCCGGTGGTCGGGTCACTTACGAATACTTTCTTAACCACTTTTACCACAGCCTGCCCAGCAACGATAGGAGCGCCAACCACTGTTAGTATGCCAAATTTGGCGGCGTCTTTTAGCTTTATTTTCCTGCCTGCCTTGTCGGTGTAGTCTCCCGATTTGGGGTCGACTATATTCCTTCTTACAGCTTCATTAATATTGATAGCTTTGCCGGTCGTCGGATCTTTAACTGTAACCGCCTGATTCGGAATTTTGTTTTCTAAAACTGCCGCCACCAAATTTGTGGCTTCATTCGAAGCTGGGCATATCACAAGAGCACTGGTGGGATCGTAGATAACCCCAGGTTTAACCTCAATGGGTTCTGCCGTTTTTATTTCAACGTTCTTCAGTTCGGTGTATGACGGTGGATTTTTATCTATAACACTCGAAACTTCCACTTTATCAGGTTGGCCGCTCAGTTTGGTGACTTGAAGGAGCCTTTGACTTGATTGGTCGGTTTCCATGGGTTGCTCTAGAATAATGTAATTATGGGCAATCGCTTCTGTCATAGGTATTTTCTGGTTGTGTTCGTTGATATAATGTCCCGTGGAGTCCAAAATTTTCTTTTCCAGGGCGCGTGTAAGGCTTATTTTGCGGTTGTTAACCTTATCCACAACCGTCGCGGAAGAAGGATTTATAATTTTGAGATTTACGCATTCTTCGAAGCTCGTCAATCGGTCCGTACCGGGGATTATAAACAATCCTGTGGCAGGATCGAAAACTTTATGACTGATTGCATCACTTAAAGACCAACCTTCAACTGGGAGTTCGTAAACTTGTTTTTCTAAAGCAGCTTTTTCGTTGGTAATAAAATCTGTGGTAAACGTGGACGTGTGATGGGATACTTGTTTGGGGAGGGATGTTTCTTTTTTGCTAACAATTGTAATTACAGTGGAGGAGGGTTTCTTAGGAATAGCACCGGTATTGATTGTCAAATTGGAACTTTCAGCGTCGGGCGCCAGTTTTCCGTCGCTGATGGCCTGCACTATTGGAATAATTTCCTTGGTTTCGGGATCTTTGTAAGTTTGGTTGTCGTTATTGATCAGTCCAGATCTAAGGGCTTCGGTGTATGTAATAATAGTGGGTTTAATTTCTTTATTAGTTACAGTAACGTATCTTTGAACTACAGTAGAAGTAACCTGAGTGTTAACATTAACATTAAGCAAAGTATTTAATAGAGAGGCACCTTCTGGGGTTATTAAATGTTGCGCAATAGCATCGTTAAGATAAACTACCTTATTTTTACTTATATCTATAAGATTACCTGTTTTTGGATCGATGTAGCCGCGAAACACGGCCTCTAATACAGTTAATTCCTCTTGGTTTTCCATTATACCGATTTTTTTTATCAAGTTTTCATACACCGCGGGCTTTACCTCGCCAGATTGCAAGCCCTCAGTGAATGGAAGAAGTTTACCGCTCTTTTTGTTCATTAACAAACTACCACCATCTTTTTTGCTAATGTAACCTTTAGAATTTGCTGCATTAAAGCTCACATAATCTTTATTGTCTAATGGCTTGAAACCATCGACATCAAAAATTGATTTCCTAACTACTGAATAAATATAACCTCTATGCACCGCTTCCGGAATAGGAATAATTTCTCCAGTTACGGAGTTTCTAAAAGTACTGTCATGTAAAATAATACCTTCGGTTAACGCCTCGTTTAACGTGACTAACTCATTTTTCCTAAAATCTAAAATGGACTTGACTGAATCTGTATCTAAAACGCCTCGGTTAGCCGCTTCGAGCAAAGTAATTTTTTCTTGGTTCAAAGGGGAGAATATGAGACCTTGCTGGTCTATTAAGTTATCGTCTACTATTTCTTTAAGGGACTTGGGTTTTACTATTAACTGCCTACGTTTGGCTTCCAAAAAGCTAATTTTCTCGTGACCCATCACGTACTTGCCCAATTTAGGATTAATAATACTTTTGTCGATAGCCTCGATCACAGTCACTTTACTATCGGTTTTGGGGTCGACGATTTCGCGAACGTCACCGTCGATAACGTTGGAGTTGATGGCCGCATTTATCTGATACTTGTTGCCGGAATTCCTGTCCACAATCCAACCGGTCCTTTCGTCGATCAGACCCTGATTGATGGCATCGTAGAGGGGCACCGCCCCGGTCTGTAACTTGATCTCCCTGACTTGCAGGAGGTAGCCCTTCTTGAACGCCTCCTGTATGTCTACGACCTCCCCGCTGTCTAGCTTGTACGTGCCCAGTTTGACGTCGATTCTGCCCTCGCTTATGGCCTGATCGATAGTGGTGCTGTGAGTTACCTTAACGCGTTTCTCCGTCGCTCCGTGCTCCGCTACATAAAGACTCCGCTGTATGGCCTCAAGCAGAGTCAAATTCCTGCCATACTCGGTAACGCCGCAAGGGCTTTGCAACGCCTCCGCGATCACGGGCTGCACGAGGCCCTTGCCTCGCGCCTCGTCTATCGACAGCTGCGCGCCGTCGGCGTACGCGACCACTTTTCCCGTTCTCACGTCCAAAATCCTCGACTCGATCGCTTCGGTGATCGCCATCCACTCGCCGGTGTACGGATTCACGATGCCGGCGACGTCCATGATGCTGTCGGTGCCGATGCCCTCGTTCACTTTGTGCACCCTTTTCAGGGACTTTATCTCGGTGAACTTCATGGTCTCCCATGAGGGCTCCTGCGTGATCTGCGTGCGCGTCGTGTAACTGTCCGGCGGACGGCCGTTCGTTATCTTGTCCGTTTCGTCTTTTGCGAAGTTCGAATCGTCGGTTATTTTTATGGTGGTTCCGTTTTCCGTGCGCGACGACCTCGTTTCCGTATACCTGATTCACAAAAATAACGAATTCGAAAAAGATAATTAACAAAATAATTAGAATAGAACAAAATTTAAATAACGTAAGTTGATGTATTATGCAAAATTTAATTATCAACTCATGAATACCGTAGGTACTTAAATTAATAAATGTGTTAAGTTTATCACTTACTGCTTGCTGTAGTGGGTGGATGTAGTATATGTAGAGGTTAGTTCGTTCGCACTACTCATGTGGAACTCAGTTCTAAAGGTTTTGAATGGCTGTGGCTCCATTTGTTCAACGAGCCTCTGCAATAAAAATAATAATAAATTTAAAACATTTAACCCATAAAAATGGGTCATAGAGGGATTTTCTAATAGCACAGCAAACGGAAAATTACAGAAGTGTATAGGATGACGCCACGTTTAATACAGTTTTTTAAATCTCGCCATGGTACAGAATTATATTTGGCAGTCCAGCGTTTCAATACTCTCCACAGTATAGAAGTCGTAATTTGACTTTTGAACTAGTATTTATATGAAAATTATTGTGTGCTTGAAAAAAAAATTATATACGACATGATTGTGATTTTTTAAATTTTATTAATTAATTAAGCTGGGTCTACCAATAGACCTCATTACTAAAATTAAACTTTAATAGCATATCGTTTTTTCAACATAACCTCTGAAATTTTTAATACAAATATAGGCACTTGGTTGGTTTAATTCCAAAGTGTAAGGTGCGATATAAGTGATATTTTTGTGCAAATTTCTCCATAAAATAGTTTTAACTAAACAGGATATATTAAAAAAATCTAACTTCTCTATTATGAAATAAGAATATCTGTATCAAAGGTAGGTTATTGTATTAGAACAAAAAATATCATCTAATTTTGTATTTTAAGATTAGAAAAATCTATTTTGACCAAAATAAATAAGTGGATTATTTGTGTTAATATGGTCATAAATAAATATAGGTATCCTAAATAATGGTTCAAATTAAATTGAAGCTTTTATACTTATAACGACAAAACTTGTGCATACCTCTTGGCATACCTACTTTAAGTTAGATTATAAGAAAACAAACAATTTTTAGAGAAACTTGCAATGTGAAAATATTTAATACTCCCATGACAATATTAAAGTAATAATGATTTTTCGATGTAGATCAAATTCAGTCGAAGCTTTTTAACTATTTGTATTGGCAAAACTTTATGTAGGTACACTTTAAGCTGGATAAGAAAAACTACCACATTTTTAAATACCATATTATACCGTCTTTTAAATAATCCAAAATACTTATTTATTTTGGTCAAAATAAGTTTTTCTAACCTTAAATACCTTTAATTCAGATATTCTTATTCCATAATAGAGAAGCTAGATTTTTTTTTAATAAATGCTTATTTTATGGATAAAACCAGATATTTAGAACAAATGCACAAAAATATTACTTATTTGGCACCATACACTTTAGAATTTCATTAAATGCAGTATTTATATTCTTAAATTCTTAAACCATCCATTGTTATTGTAATGTTATAAAGATTTATACATTTTAACGCCTAAACATAATATCATTTCTTTTGTTAAATATACTTTGACAGATACATAACCTGAAAAGCCTTAAATGCCAAATTTTTAAAAGACTGCGTTCCGTACGTGGTCACGTGGTGGGACTTTGAGGTGTGGAGCATAGTACATACCTGAGTTGTTACGGTAAACAAAAATCAGAGAAAGGAACCAAAGAAAGGAACTGTTTTTAACAAAATCATGCAGAAATGAGAAAATTCAAACAAAAGATCAAAACAACCTCTTTTTATCCTTTCAGAAATATTGAATAGAACAGTATTAGAAAGACTCCAGTTTCTATAACTTGGTATAGTAAAGAGAAGTCGAAACCGTTGCGATATTGCAGTGCGCTGTTTTTTTTTATAATTTTCGGGGACATTAAAGAAAATCATTGCCAGAAAAATTCGTAAAGCTTAAGTTTCTATGTCTCTGAAGAGAATAATAATCCAATTCCAATTCGAGGGAGTTTCTACCTCTCTGTTGAATATAGAAAATGAAAATAATGTATCTTGTAAGACACCATTGAGTTTGACTTTTACTATAGTCGTGCATAGGTATAGAACCGAAAAATATAAAAACACAGCTCGATTCAATATAGTTCTAATAAAACTTTAAGATTTAGTATATACACTTTTATATTTTTCCTTTTGCTGTGAGGTATATCATTAAGTCCATTAGTAACCCACAAATATGTGACATCAGTCAATATTTAAAAAATTTATTAAACTACTTGGCGCCTTTGTATTTTAACCGTGGGTGTATTGTGTAGGATAATAAATTAATATACATGGAATTTCATTTTTAATTCTACCTATAGGATATATATTTATGCAAGTAACAGTATAATACTAAACAAGTAAAAACGTATACGTATAATTATTTCTGAGCTTATGTTATGTTTTATGTTATTTAAGTCACATAGTTATTACTTATTTCTATAAAGTGATTATTAACAGTAAAACCACAAAAATGCATCAAAATTAGTTATGCAAATTTTAATTTTCTATAAATAAACATTACATTATCCCAATGATAAGCTATTGTTTTCAGATCTATTTATTACGAAAATCATCGTAAAAAATTATCATTTATAGATTACTTATGTATCAAGTTTGATAAACGCCATTTTAGTCACGAATTTAAATTTGTAATTAATTAAGTTAGGTAGTGTCTAGAAAAGTTTGTAAACCAGTTTCATACTATACGTTTACTATGGCAAAATTATTTAAATTAAATATTTGTATAGAGGGATATCTATACAAGAATAGAGTAAGAACCCTAAGAATGGTAATCTTTATTACCGGCGATTTGTCTGTGTAAATCGAAAGTTATCCCTTGAAAATGGACTAACAACCGTTTAAATCTGATATAGAAGCAGTTTATTACAGTGAAAGTAAAGAGAATGTTTAACTTCAGCCCGTGACTAAACAGCCCGAAAGCCACTGCTGCTAACTTAAACATGTGACTAAAACGCCATAAATTCGCAGCTTGTCAATGTGTATTTAACATGTAAGATAATGGACGTTTCAAAGGTAGCGGTAGAAAATAGTATTTATCAAAACGTGAGATAACTTGTCTAAATATTGAAATAAATAAATAGGGAAAAATTATTTGCCTATTTAAATTGGACAGCCAATCTACTTAGGTACGTCCTTAAGATTAGGAAATAGCGGCATTATAAAGAACGAAATCAAAAGTTTGGCTTACTTTCAATAAAATTTCGGAATGTCACAACATATTATTACGTCATGTGTCTAGCCTGCTTGATAGATAAATAGGTATAGCGTGCTAAGTTTTTAAAAAATATAAAATAAATTAAATCAAATTTAACATACTCGATGACCCTGACCTTAAAATTTATTTAGTGAAGATAAAAAAAAATTATGAATGGATTACTAAATAGTAGCAAGAAGTTTTATTGAGTTACAAATTTGTTATGCCAAGGTAACAATAGTGCTAGTATGTTTATTAGATTTGGATCTAAAAATATGTATTATCTATTTTACTGTTTACCTTAGGCACTAAAAATTTATTATTATTTATTTTAAGGCAAGATTTGAATTTTGTGTTTCGAATTTACTTTAAAAGTATATTTAATCTTTGGTTTTCACATAAAATTAGTTCCGACAATATACAGGGTGTTCCAAACTATTCCTTGCGAAAATCCAAGACAAAAATTTATAAAAAAAATAAACAAAAACAAATTCGTTACGTCAAAAGGCGGGTCTAACACTATATAAACACTGCGCTCTCATTGGTGACCTTAAAAGTTAAATAAATCCCTAAATCTAATTCGAAAAAATGGTATAGAAAATTTCGTATTAGGTTTTGGGACACCCTATAAGATTCGGTCTACCTGTATTTATTGTTCAGGATATTTAAAAATAAATCTTACAAGTAGGTTGTTATTTTTATACTTTAGAGTATTTATAAACTCATAAATATTGTTAATTAATTCACCATTTATGAAACAAAATAATAATTAAGGCTTTATAAAATAAGGTATGTAGTTAAAAATAAATCGCAATTTCGGTCGCGGTGCCGGTTAGGTTATAATATTATTGATTTTATAAAAACTAACCCAGTTCACATTTCCCAGCTCGTGGCCAAAATCATAGCCGTTATTACACATTTTCACGTTAAGTTTAATAAAACTGACACAAAAAATGCACTTATAACTAAAGTTAATCAGTTACACTTAACTAAACAATCAAAAACTGTCCATGTAAATTGAAGTAACAAAAACAAAATTAATTTTTATCGCATTATAAGGTTTTAAGTCATGTTAATAAAATATTGTTTAAACAAAAATAAAAGTTTATCGCGGCATTTTGTCGTTCAAAAACGTTGTTATATCGCGATAGGTATCGCGCAAACTAACGTAAAATACATGGATTTCGACAGTCGACTGAATTCGTCAGCGACTCGCTCTAGCCTTCGTGACAAACTCGAACATTTGAAATTGGAAATAAATCATAGATCTAAAAATTGTAAAGAAAACGTTAAAAATTATCTTAATTGTTTAAGTTCTAATTATTATTTAACATAACATTTTAGATCGTTTTTTAACAAGAAAAATGAAACACTGTAGACTATGACACGCTGTACCTAAATACTGCAAATATTTTTACAGTAGTAATTAATTTAGATTTTTGGCCAATTGGCCAAATAAGTTTGTTTATCACCGCTATAAAAATAGCCATTGTTAGTTTAAATTTAAAAATATAAACATTTTAAGGGCTTTGCATTGGTCTTTGAATTTACCCAGAGTGCCTAATACAAATTTTTAAAATACTTTTTAAATGCACATCTTCATAAAAATAAGTTATTCTTGTAATTTCTATAAATAGTTACAATCATAACTACAAAACAAGATTAACAAACGATCCAAAAATAAACATTCTCTTTTAAAAACTTATTCACTGACAGAAATTATCAATAATTAGCTAAAAATACTCAAAAATATCTAATTTAAAGCAATATTAACACTTGTATGTAAGTGTTTAAAAATAAACGCTCTGTCAAGTGCTATTTTTATGGGCAAATAAAGGGACCTAAAAAGAATTGTGTTATATTATAACATAGGATCTAATAATTGGTCAAGGTCAGATATAGAAGTCGGTCAAATATGAATTAATAAAATTTGATGTTAAAATTAATCCTATTAAAAGTGGGCAGGTGTTTCTGCAATAATTTACAAGTAAGGCCTGCTAAATATATGAAGAAATTAGATCATTTCCTTCCCATTATCTTAACCAATACATTTATGCATAGATAACAATATGCATTACATTAATTTATAATTTTTGTGGTGGTGAACATAAAGTATGGCCCACACAAAACCTTTACAAGGAGGCGCAATAACGTATCTGAATTTATAACCAAGGATAACTATCTCCTGAAGCCCACCGTTACTCCCACTATAAATAAAATATCCCTTATATTACGTACGAAGTTTACACTATAAACAAAAAAGTCCGATGAGAAAATAAAACCAAAAACATCAAGATGGCTCAACTATGTGGCACTTGTTTTTTTGTAGTCCCACAGGTTTATGGCCTTCCAAGATTACGTCATTATTACAAATACCAAGAACTGTAAATGTGTAAAAATACACACATGACATGTTACGAATGTTGTCACCGTTTTATATAAGCTTTTTTTATCAAATACCTGTTTTATTACTATGAGTAATTTTTTATGTTGATAAACATAGCTTGAATAAGTGATACAATTTCTGGACTAATGTAAGTAGGAATAAAAAAGTGATTTCATTCATAATTTTATCTTTTTTGCATGTAAAAATTTAAATAACAAGAATATTATGCAAATTTTAGGAATACTTTCTACACATGCTAAAAATATACATTATAGATTATTCTATAAATGTCAAGGAAAGTATATTAATTAAAAAGTTTATATTTTTCACAATTAATATTAATTATGTTTATTCGGCAATGGTACCCCCCCATCACGAATATCATAAATATGAACATGTGGAACCTCAAAGTTTACTGTAAAATCATATCTAAAATTAGAAGTGCAAATTTGAAATAAATTAATAGGGAATTGCTTGTAAACACTTTATATAAACAAATAGTAAATTAAGTGTTTTTATCCGTAATTACTGACAACATTACAAATTTCTTTTGCTTACACTTTTTTATGTTATTACGAAGAAAATTGAATATTTGATTAATTTTTTAAGTTACCTTTATATTTTATATGATTGTTTTTGACCGGGCAAATATTATTAATTATTAACAGAAATTAAGCCAAATGGTCTTTAATTTATTTGATGTAATAAATTTTAAAATCATATCCAAGACAAATGACCAATTAAATTTTTTACAAAACATCCTTAAAATTTTAATTGGCTATATAGTGTTACATAATTATACCAGTTTGGCAAGAAATGAATTAAATGTGGTATTTTACTTTTTTTCGTGGACTAAACCAAATAAAAATAAAAATTTACATATATTAAGTTTCAAATGAAAACATTAAATAGTTTTTAATCATGATATCATGATTTGCAAAAATTAGATATTTATCTTATATTTATTTACCGAGTTAATATTTTACACTACAATTTTTAGAATCTTATTTTTTATTTTTAAATATAATTTTAATTTTGCAATTAAATGGGAATAATATAAACTCAGGGTGAAAATGTCAGTTTTTGGAAATATTTAGTTTTTCAATTACATTTAAAATTTTAAAGGCGATTTTTTAAAAATAATATTAAAAAATAAAATATTTTATGCTCAAAATATTTAAATTTTACCAACTTTTTAATGTTTTAAAGCTAAATATTAATAAAAATTATTTAAACCATTTAAGTTAACATTTTTAAGTCGATAAATTATTGAGAAAAATTAATTTTAAGGATTTTAAAATATTTTTTAATTCAAAGGCAACTAAAAAAATACCCCTATGGGTAGTTTTTTTATTTAAATAACGATCTTTGCTTTTGAAGGATTTTAAAAGAGAGGAAGGCAGAAGTCTTACTCGACTAATTTTGTTCAATTACACAGCTAAATCGCGCACGTTATTTGTGTTTTACGTTGCAAGGAAAAAATTAAAAAACTTTGTTGTACTCGATTTCGATTGATTAATATTATTATTGATTAAGAAACTCAACGCTTAAATGCTTAAATAGTTACGTTAGTGTGTGTATTTTATCAAAGGGATCATGGTGAATTATTGTATTTTTAATTGTAAATAAAATTCAAGAACTAAATCGTTACATTTTCATGTTTTGCCAAAGGATCCAATTCGGTAAGTACATTTGTTGGTGCAGCATTAACTAATGATAACTTTACCTAATATAATTTATATTTAAGTTTGGACATTTTTAAGAAATTAGTAAAAAATAATTTTTGCACAAACATAACCATTTTTATATTTGAGTTCTCTAAAAAACGCCGACAACTGCATTTTAAACAAAAAAATATACCTACGAATTCATGGCAACATAATATTATATAATAATAGGCTGGTTCAAAAAAATCAACTATTTTTTTTCTGAATTTTCGCACTGAAATATCTTAACGATACCAAAAAAGACTCCTGTGAAAACCGGAGCTCTTAATTTTAATACTTAGAGGTCGCGCATCGATAATTTTTATTTTCCATTTAAATAACATGGGAAATTTGGTTTTGTTTCTTTATAATTTTCTAGCTTACAAAGTAATTAACAGATTTGTATGCGCGATAAATATTCTTGTGGAAAATTGAACGCTCTACAAAAAATGTCTCATATCATTTTTCGATAAACCAACGAGTTCAAAAGTTATTCAAATCAAGTTAAATTTATGTCATAATTGCATTTTTTACTTCAAAATTACGATGTCCAATAAGCCTTTTAAATCAATTTCACTGAAACACCTACTATTTTTGGAAAGAATTCATTAAAATTCTTTTTGATTGATTAAAATCCTTTTTTATTGATTTAAATCCTTTTTAATGAATTCTTTCCAGTAATAGTACGTGTTTCAGTGGAATTAATTTAAAAGGCTTATTAAACATAGTAATTTTGATTTTTGATAATAACTTTAATGAATTTGCCTAAAATTTAAGTAAAAAATGCACTTATGACATACTTAAATTTAACTTCGACTTAGAACAACTTTTGAACTAGTTGGTTTATCAAATAATGAAAGGAGACATTTTTTGTAGAGCGTTCAATTTCCCACAAAAATATATATCGCGCATACAAATCTGTTAATTAGTTTGTGAGCTAGAAAATTATTAAGAAACAAAACAAAATTTCCCATGTTATTTAAATGGGAAATAGAAATTCTGGATGCGCGACCTCTAAATATTAAAATTAAGAGCTCCGGTTTTCACAGGTGTCTTTTTTTCGTACCGTGAAGATATTTCAGCCTAATATGTATATAATACATAATATAATGGTATTTTACCGTTGAGTGGAGACTTTCTTAATCAACGCTTTTAATAATGCTAAATGCTGTTTAAATTTAGACGACTTATTTGTTTGACGATTTTTACTGAATGTTTACACTTTTTACGTTAATCACTAGTAGTGAGTGATTCACTACTAAAATGTGTATTTATTGTATCTAATAGGTACATTGTACATTGTACAATTGTACAATTTATATTAACAGAGACTGTATGCAATTTATTTCTTCATACGGATTAACACTGTTTTTTGGAAAACCGGTAAAAACTCAACCCAGGATTTCCTCTCGAAATACACCCAACAACACAACAAATCGATTCACGGTTTTTTTTTCGATATTTTTTAACATTTTCCGGCTTTATTCTCAAAAACACTAAGCGTTTGACATCTGATTATTAAAAGTGTTACGATGATAACAGCCGAGTGGTGGCGCTACTAGCGATACTTCTTTAGCGTATAAGATGGAATGCCGTTGAAAAAACTTTGCCATAATCTTTCATAATCATTGATCAACTTACCAGAGTGACGATATCTCCCGGGCATTTGGCAGCGATCTCCCTGAGCCTGTCGTACAGGGCGTCCAGAAGGAACTGGTACCGCTGGTTGAAGTGGTCGAGTTCAACGACGACCTGGTCGGCGCCGTTGGGCGCCGCCGGCGACCTGTCCCCGCGGAAGGCGGTGTTGGCGTCCAGCGACGGCTGCGCCTCTATCATCGCCTCCCGGAACCTCTGCAGCCCCTTGCTCCATATCTAGTGTTAGGGTTAGAGGTTAGGTTGTCAATTTGTTAGTCTAGTGAGTGCGTGAGTGAGTTTTTCTGGATTTTTCTTTTTACTATTTTAACTTGAAGCGACGATGTGTGTGAAATACTGGGTGTTTACGAAATGAACAGGTGGATTTATGGAGGCTCAATCACCAGAATAGAAATACAGGATGGGCGGGAAATTGTAATTATAATTTTTTAACTTTCTGTGTTTATTTGACTTTTCTGTGTATTATGTACAACATACAAAAACAAAATACAAATTTTGTGAGAGTATGTTTTAAATACTAAAAATCTTACACGACAAAGAAGGATAGAAAAAGGTGAGAAAAGCTAAGCGAATTTGATATTTTTGATGAACAATAACACTAGTTTTGTCCACCATATCCCATTATAATTTTCCCGTGTTTTTGAGATATGAATTTTTAATTGTTTTTTTTTCAATTTTTTGAGGTGTTTTGACGTTTTTGAGTATAGCTTGAAATCTTATTGATCGATTTGGCCAAACAAGCCCTTAAATTTAAGCATTATAAAACTTTCTTCCACATAAGTTTGATATCAGAAAAGTATTTTGATGCTAGCGATTTTGATAACTTAAAAAAAATCGTTTTTATGGCAAAAATTGAGGTCGATAGTTTACATATCGACCTGGGGAAAGGTTTAAATCAAACAGATAACTCCAGTTTGATTTTTTTTGGTAAAGATGAGATTTTTACAAAAAAAAAACAAGCTGATGTTGGTAAAAATCCATGGATAAATGGCGAAGTTATGAATTTTTTAGTGGACGACTTTTAGTTTTTTTTTGTTTTATTTTGTAATTTGTTTATTCTTTAATAAAAACCTAATTAAAGTGCGTGATTGGAATTTCTTGAGTTTTTTACGTTCTTTTTTCACAAAAACATTATTCAAAATTTAAATTTGACATGACTCCGCAAACGTGAATTCTTTTGTTTCTCCTGTTCGCATATTCACATTTTACTGTATTTTTTGACATTTCAACAAGGTATTTTTATCATTGTTTATTTAGTTAAAAGTGTAAAATGAGTAAAAGATGTAGAGTGGGTCCCTCATACGAGAAACGGAATACGAAAGCAACAAAAAACAAAGAAGGAGCCAGAATTTTTTTAAACCTATGCTTATACAACAAAATAAAACTTTCAATATCATCAATGTTCTATATTTAATTGCAATATTTAATGTTTAATAAAAAAATCAATGTTCAATATTAAATTTTATAGAATTCAATAAAATGAAGAAAAAACATTCTCGAAAAGCTGAATTTTGATCTTCCACTGAAAAATTCATAACTTCGCCATTTATCCATGGATTTTTATCAACAGCAGCTTATTTTTTTCTTTTAAGTATCATCTATAGGTAACACAAATCAAACTGGACTTATCTTTTCGATTTCTTTTTTTTTCCAGAAAGATATGTATACTTTCGACCTCTATTTTTGTAAAAAAAAAAAACTTTTTTAACTTAATAAAATCGCTAGCAACAAACTACTGGACCGATACCAAAACTATACAAGAGAAAGTTGTAGAGGGCTTAAATACCTTTGATTTGAGTGCTTGTTTGGTCAAATCGATCAATTAGAACTCGAAGTATACTCTAAAACGTCAAAACACCTCAGAAAATTAAGAAAAAAACAATTGAAAATTCATATCTCGAAAACGCTTCCATGAAATTTTTTTTTTTTTGATTTTCGCGTTTATTGAGCCAAACTACACAAGAAAATCATAGTGAAACATGGTGGGCAAAATGGCTGTAAACTAGTGTATTCTACAATCCACCTTTTAGTACCGTTATAGACGTTTATTAAATGTGGCGAATTATGCGAAAAACAAATTAGTTAAGTAAGAAACATAAATTAACAGTTAAACGGGACATAATAAAGCTACATATAACTAAAACTACAACATCATACATTCACGCTGACACACACACAAACCTAAAGTAAATACTAAATAAATCACTAAGACTAAACTTAAAACTAGTGAGAGATGATGTGTTTGTATTAATTACCTTTCCTTCCCTTATAAATCTACCGCCATTGACATTAACTTGTTCAATTTTGGGGGTACGTTCGGTCACGCTATTTAGCAGATTCTGGAAAAATGTAAAAATATTGGGTATGGGATAATTTTAACACTTTAATTTAGAGAAAAGTCTGGAAGAAAACAGATTTGAAAGCTAAGAATGTCATTGGCATAAACTAAGTTATTGAGTGGTGTGGGTCGAATATCCGCTTTTTTCGAAATTTATTTGGTAATAGCAAAATTATTATTCTTTGTGGTAAAAAAAAATTATGTACAATTTTTTTTAGTTAACATCCAAATGCACTTAAAATTGTAGTAAATTTAATTATCTACAAAAAAGGTCCATAAATATTGCAGTTACAGAGATAAATGCAATTTGATCTCAAAATTGTAACAGTTTTAACAAAACTTATTTTAAAAGAAAAAAACTTTAATATTTATAAAATTACCGACAATATTAGACGAATAATTTTGTTCTTATTACATAGGTTTTGTAATAAAAATTACAATTTTGAAATTATATGGCGATTATCTCTGGAACTACAATATTCATGGTAAAAAAATTTACTAAAAAAATATAAACAAAAATTTTTAATATTAAAATAAGTTATTTTTGTGGAGAAAAATAACAATTCCAAAATAAATTCTCGATTATTTATGGTTTAAAAATTGTTCACATATTTTCAGTTTTAGAACTACGAATACTTCTTTGAATATTAATTGGAATAGTCGAATTATTCGAATACTTTAAATATTTGAATACTCGAATTATTTAAAAAATTAAATTATTCAATTACTCGAATAATCTAATATTCGAATAAAATATTATTAGAATAATACGTTTCTTTATAATTAAGTTTTGCTCTTAATTACTTAAGAAATAAATAAATGTTTGAGTATTAGGGTATTCCAATTATTTTTAATCGATTTCTACCTCTATTTGAATACACGAATTATTCGTAATCGATTCCCAGCCTTAATAGTATGTAGTGGGAAATTTATTGTTACTAATTTACCGACAAAATTAGAGGAATTATTTTTTTTACGTATTAATTAAGTAAACATTGTCTTATAAATGACTATTTTGAAATAAAATGGCGAGTATCTCTGAAACTACAATATTTATGTAAAATTAAATTTACCAACAAAATACATGTATTTTATGCATATATATAAAAAAAAATTGTTACTAATAAAATAAGTTAATTTTGTGGAAAAAATTACAATTCCAAAATAAATTCGCGATTAGGTATTTATGATTAAAAAAAATACATGATAATTATTATTATTAGTACTTTTTTGTAGGCAAATACATTTTCTATTAACAAAAAACTTTTAAAATAAGTTTTGCTAAAAAAATCGCAATTATCTTGAGGTTACAATATATATGCGATAATTCATAAATACTTTTTTATAGACAATTAAATTTTCCAAGAAATTATATTAAAAATACTTTTTTTACTTTTAAAATCAGTAAAAATCGCAAAATTTACCAAAAAAATTCTTTACCTAAAAATCAGGGTTTTAAAATTTTCGAAAAAAAAACGGAAAAATTGAGAAATTTTCAAAAAAATTTACTCTTACATTTTTTTTTCATAGGATATTTAAAAAAAAAATGCAAAAGAAATTGTTTTGGAAATTTTTATATTTTTACGTATAATATCCGTACATTGATATCGACAAAAGAGTGAATTTCCAACGCTGATTATAATCATATAATATTATGATTATAATAATAATTCCTTCTATTTTACTTCAGTTAAATATTCTACCGGGTCGCAAAAATCATATTCGGTGTTATATTAACATAATTAGTTAACTATCGTTTTATTTAACACATCGATTTATAAAATTATAATTTTGTAAATTAACTTATTAACATTATTTTTTAATTGGATATTTTCAATAGCAAAAAGGATTAAACCGACAGTATATTTAACGTTTACGTTTATTTTCTTAAATTTAATTCAATGCTTAGTTTTATTTGTTTTTTTTTCTGTAATTAAATAAATTTTTCGACACAATTTTGGAATAAAATCGCGAAATTACAATAATTAATTCAAAATTGATAGAGACCATTTTTGTAGACAATTATTTCCCAACAGATAGTGCTCATGAAAAAAATATTTTGTACTTTCAATTTTAAGTGCATTTGGCGAGTGTGGGAATTTTTTTTGTGTATATTCTTTTTTTTATCACAAGGATTAATACTTTTGCTATTACCAAATTAATGTCGAGAAAAAAGCGAATATTCGACCCACTCTATTATTCAGTGAGTAAGTCAGTGTTAAAGTTATTAAGTTAGGTAAATAGATATGAAATTAAGAATGGAAGACGTTACAAAAACCACCAAACTCACCCTTGTCGCGTCGAGAGTGTCTTTCGCTCTATCCTTGATGGGCTGCATGTTCTCCAATTTACCGTACTGCTCGTCCAACCAGCCATCTTCAACTTGCTTGGCCTCTTTGTAGTTCTTCAGCAACTCGTAGGCCTGCGTGCAGCCTCTCAGCCTGTCGGCCAGCTGAGAGCACACGTTACTCCACCTACCGTTCAACTTTTGCACGTCCTTGTCCAGCCTCTCCACGTCCGAATGGGGCCCGCGAGTATTCGGGCGCGATTTCTCAGTGAGACGTCTAGTATTGTCGAAATCGTCGTTCAATTGGTCCATGGCGATTTGTTGTTGACCAACGGCGGATTCCAGCTTCAACAGTTGGTCGTGCACAGCTTCTAGTCCCTTTTTGGTGTTTGGAAGTTCCTCAAACATCGCCAGTTTGTGCTCAAACTCCGATATCACCTGCGAGGCGTCTTCCATTCCGGAGAGAACGATTTCGATGCACTTCAACCGTTCAATGTACAGATTGCTGGTGTCCCAGATGTACTTCCACTTGTTGAGCACCTTTTCCAAATCCTTCTTGTGCTGAGAAGTCTTCAAAGTGATCAACCTGAAGGTGTCTTTCACCTGCTCTATTTCAGGTTCGACGTTCTGCAATCGCGATTCGAACTCCTTATGTTCCAAAACCAAATGCTGGAGGGTATCGATATCTCTCGGCAAAGAAGCCGCCACGCGTTTGTTGATCACTCTTTCCGCCTCCTCCAAGATCTGCTGCAGATTGGAGATCTGGTTGTTGAAAATGCGCGTCTGGTTCTTGCTTTCCTCCTCAGCGCGCGCTCTCTTCTCCAGTTCGTCGAAGAGACGGTTAACCTCGTCCATTTCTCTCCTCAACCGTCTCAACTGCGGGTCGGAGGGATCTCCTTCCGCGATCAATTTATCGGCGTCTTCGTTCAAAGCCCTTCTGATCGCGTTTCTTTGCTCGGCGCCGATGGCAATGAACTGCGGCAGATCCCAGCCCTTGACGACTTTGATGGTGGCGAAGATCATGTTCTGTCTCATTCTCAGTTGCTTTTTTTGCCACAAGGCGATGGACCTGTCGTATTGTCTTCTCAGACGATCGACTGCGTCTAGAGCGTCTTTGTCGGGCGGCGGGATTACGAAGCAAACGCCAGGCACTTGGGCTTCAACGCCGCTGTCGTTGTGCACTCTCCACTTAATGCGGCCGGAGTTGTCTGTCAAAGTACACTCCCTGTTCTTCTCGATTACAAACTAAAAATGAGAAAAAATTAAGTTAATTCAGCACCTAATACAATCAACGACTTATATGGGACGCCGTTTTAGGGTTTTGACGATTATCGTATATTGTAAAAAGTCAAAGAGTTGTAGGTAGCTATTTATATTAAAAGATGTCACTAATACTTTTGTAGACTTGCAGGTAATTGTATAAATAGTTATTGTGTGTTGAAAACCCTTATTAAATAAAAAAAATATAAAAGTCAAAATACTTTTTGCAATGGTCATAGATTTCAAAAACTCACTTTGTAATTGTTTAATGCGATTGTGCTTTATGGGAAAAAGTTGAGCTTTTATGGAGAAAAGTTAAATATTATACATAGTTTTGGCAATTATTATTTATTGCAAAAACTCAAAGAGTTTTGCCAATTATCGTATGTTATAAAAACCCAAAGAGTTGTATTTACATTAAAAGACGTCACTAATAGTTTAATTCTTATGTTGAAAAAACTTAAACTTTAAAATACAATATACGCATACGATTTTTGTAAAAAGTATGGATAACCTGTATGGCCATCTGTAAGAACTATAATAGGTATGTCTAGGGGAAACAAAAAAAACTAGATTTAAGGATTTTAAGGTGTTGTCTCTGGTAGGGTTTTAACATTTCCGGAAAAATTGCAAAATTTTCAGAAAAATCGACTTTTGCATTGTTTTTTTCGGGTTCAAAATAAATAAACCCCGAAATAAATGCAAGTCAATTTTTCTGAAAATTTCTTTTTACGGTAATATCCTTACAATTACATCGAGGAAAAGGTAAATTTCCGACGATAATATAATGATTATAATATATTATAATAATTATAATTATTCCTTTTTTACCGGGCCGCAAAAAACATATCAGTGCTCGTTTTATTTGACATATCGATTTATAAAATTATAATTTTGTACTTTAACTTTTTAAATCATTTATTATTGTGCAAATGAATATTTTCCTTTGGCAAAAAGGCTGTTGATTACTTTGTTTTTCTTAAATCAATTAAATTTAATTCAATGTTTAGTTGTATTTGTGTTTTTCTGTAATAAAGGAAATATTTTTTTAAATTTCTTTAAATGTATATACTTCCAATTTTTCCGACACTTTTTCCCAATTTTTCCGACACTTTACTAGAGACGTAAAGGATTTTAAAATCATTGAAAATATCTAACTTACAAAGAGATTGCTGTTTTTACTTAAAATACATCTATTGCAATCAGGTTTATCACCAGATTTGGTGATGATTAATGATTTTTTTTGCCATTTTATTACAAATCTGGTGCTTTTTATTATATTGTCGATTTTTAACCGAAAAAAAATAATCATTTTAATATTAAATTTAGTGTTTTTTGTTTCTCCTAGACAGGTCTGCCATACTTTTTACAACATTCGTATATTGCCAAAAGTCGAATGCAATACTTGAGGATCATCCGTGCAAAACCGGCTATATCCACTTTAATAAAATGTTGGGAAAATGGCAAAAACTCTCGGTTTCCTGGCCTTTACAGATAAAAGAAATAGCAAACTTGAGTTTTGTGGGCTTTTTGGTACTTGATTTATAAGACATACTTTCGTTTTCAAAAACTTTATATTAAGGCCAAAATTTCAAAAAATGTTTTGAATATAGCCGGTTTTGCTCAAAAACCGAATAAAAAGCGAATAAAATGTGAAAAAAAACCTTACTAAATAAATGTATTGCAAACATGAAAAAAACAGAACAAATTTTAGTAGTAGTATCGACATATCCAAGCCACATGCTCATCATCATTATTATTTATTGGATATAGCCGGGTTTGCTATAAAAACGTGGATTTGGCCGGTTTTGCTCCTAAAGCTTCCTTTTAAATGTGATTTTAATATGAATATAGTCGGATTTAAACAGAATTATCTTGGTTGTCGATAGAAATGAACCCAAAGATGCGAAATCAAAAAAAAACAAAAACTGAAAAAAATTAATTTAGCCGGTTTTGCACGGATGCTCCTCACTTGTATTTTAAGTAAAGTTTAAGTTTTTTCAACATTTAAGTATTGCAATAAGTATTTATACAATATCTGCAAGTCTGCAAAACTATTGGTGACATCTTTTAATGTAAATACAAATCTTTGGGCTTTTGCAACATAGGACAATATATGATAATTGCCAAAACAATGTATAATATTTATCTTTTCTCCATAAAAGCTTAACTTTTTCCCATAAACCACAATCGCATAAACCTTAACAATTACAAAGTGAGTTTAAGCAATCTATGACAATTGCAAAAAGTAATTTTCTTTTAATTAATAAGGTCTTTCAACGCACAAGTGTTGCAATAACAATACAATAACCTGCAAGTCTACAAAAGTATTTTTTAATGTGAATGCTACATAAAACTCTTAGACTTTTTACAATATACGATAATTGCCAAAACTATGTATAATATTTAACTTTTCTCTACAAAAGCTTTACTTTTTTCCATATAGCACAATTGCATGTTATTAAATAGTAAAACGGTTTTCCATAGACTTACGTTATTTTGTTTGTAGTTGCAAATGGCAGTAACAGTGAGTGGCCTGGTGACAGGTTGCCTGCGTTGCCTCAACGGCGCAATATCTTGCGCTCTGTTGCTCAAAGCTTGCACCTGATCGCCGAACTGATTTAACTCGTCTCTCAGAGCCTGCATGCCTTGCAGCAATCTCTCGCCCACGTCCAAAGTGAAGTCTCCTTGGCTGAACTCGCTGTTCATGATCTCGTCTTTCTCTTTTATCCACTCTTCGGCCGCGTGGACGTCCTTGAAGAACACCTGGTAGTTTCTGGAGTTCTGGAGGTGCGTTTCCAGGCAATGGGTCAGCTGCAGGAGCCAAGCCCATTGGGCGTGCATCGCGGCAACGTGGGCCTCGATAGCCTTGGTTGCCGGGTGGTTTTGCAGCACCAAGCACTCGCCGCGTTCCAATACGGAGTTGAATTGGATCTCGCGTTTCTCCAAATCGCTCATAAGGTGCTAAAAAGTTGTGTGTTATTAATGTAATTTACTCTGGTCGACGAAATGAGGTTTTTTGTTTGCCACAGGGGTGCCAACATCTTTTCTGGGATAATTTGGGTGTGCTGATTCCTAAAATAATCATCAAAAACGTTTTTTTCACAATATCTCGAAAAAAAGGCTAATTGAGCAAAATAAGGGTCATTTTTGGAATTGAAGCACCCAAATTACCCCAGAGAAGTTGTTGGCTTCTCTGTGGCAAAAAAAATTCATTTTGTCAACAAATATTATTATACAATATTCCATCTCAAATCGACCAGGCAAAAAGGGGTAGGTCGTTATTTTTCAACGACATTTTTTTACAGTTTCTCTGCCCAAATCGATAAGGCAAAAAAACTGAGGTCAAAATATTGACATTGCCACATTTTTTTTTACTACATATTTTTTTCGTTTGAAGTTAATAATACGAACAACTTTCACCAAAAGTCCCGAGTTGGCGAAATTCTAAATCGTCAACAATACATTTAAAACATACGAACTGTACATCAATTTTAAATAAATAGGTAGTTTTTTCACAAAAGAAAGGAAGGCAGAAGTCTTACTCGACAAATTTTGTTTAACTGCACAGCTAAATCGCGCACGTTATTTGTGTTTTACGTTGCAAGGAAAAAACTAAAAAACTGGTTTAGTACTCGATTTTGATTGATTATTCTTTATATCATTTATTAAGAAACTCAACTCTAAGGGATCATGGTTAATTATTGTGTTTTTAATTGTAAATAAAATTTAAGAACTAAATCGTTGCATTTTGATGTTTTGTAAAAGGATCCAATTAGGTGAGTACATTTGTTGGTGCAGAATTTATCAATGATAACTTTACTTAATATAATTTATATTTAAGTTTGGTCATTTTTAAGAAATTGGTAAAAAATAATTTTTGCACAAACATAACCTTAAAATCAACCATTTTTATATTTGAGTTCTCTAAAAAACGCCGACTACTGCATTTTAAACAATAAAATATACCTATGAATTCATGGCAACATAATTTTATATATAATACATAATATAATGGTATTTTACCGTTGAGTGGAGACTTTAAAGAATTCTTAATCAACGCTTTTAATAATGCTAAATGCTGTTTAAATTTAGATGACTTATTTGTTTGACGATTATTACTGAATTGAAATGTTTACACTTTTCACGTTAATCATTACTAAAATGTGTATTTATTGTATCTAATAGATACAATTTATATTTACAGGAACTGTATGAAATTTACTTCTTCATTCGGATTAACACTGTTTATTGGAAAACCGATAAAAACGCAACCAAGGATTTCCTCTCAAAATACACCCAACAACACAACAAATCGTGCCACGGTTTTTTTTTTGATATTTTTAACATTTTCCGGCTTTATTCTAAAAAACACTCGTTTGTAACACATGCGTTTGACAGCTGATTATCAAAAGTTGCACTTTTGTTACGATGATAATTGCCGAGTGGTATCGCTACTAGCGATACTTCTTTAGCGTATACATTCCCTACAATAGCCAAACTATGAGGCAGTTATATATAACTTTTTATAATTGTTTCAAAATATTTGAATAATTTTATTTATTAGTTTTTAAACACAAAGGTTTCAAAGCCTTCTTAATTTATTAACTTCTGTACACACTAAAACGTAATGAACATTCAAATTTAATTAAGAGTTTGAAAGCGATATTATTAAAAAATGCATTAATATTTGGTTTCAAATTAAAAAAAGTGGATTTATTTTATTAAAAAAAATTGTTTTGGCATAAATGAATAAAATTGTATTTTTCCAGACTACTTGGCCCAACATAAAGCAGAAAAGCCAAATCAAGGCACTTTAGATATAGAAATAAAATTTAATCAAAAAGCTGATCTTAATAAGGATTGCAATATTAGGTCATTAAAATGCATATCAAGTAAATATTTTTATAAATCAAGTTTTAAACGGATCACGCCACTCATGCATTGAATTCTCCCATATAAGAGATGTGCATAATTATGCAACCAGAATCAGTGAAAATGTGGATTTACCTCGAGTATTTTCAGAATTCGGTAAAAACTCTATATTGTTTCAGGGAGCATCTGTTTATAACAAATTACCAAACAATATAAAAGAACTTAAAGGATTTAAATTTAAAAAGCATATGTCGTCTTGTGTGGCGAATTTTATTGAATAAACAATGATATATCGTAATATTTTTTATTTTTTCTGTGATATTATATTATAATGACATGTTCCTATTTAGAATTAAAATGTATTAATAAAGTAAAATTAATTTAGATTAAAAAAATGTATTAAGAATTAAAAAATATATATTAAATTGTATGATTAGAGGTGTCCCTCTATAAACTGTATGTTTCTTGGGATGAAAATAAAGTATTTTATTTATTTATTTATTTCAATTGTCAAAAATTGACAAATGACAGTATGTATACTAGGGTGGAGTGAATTTTTTTAAATTTATTAATTGATTTTTTCTATATTATTAATTGTTGACTAAAGGCGTAAAATGAATAAATATCGAAAAAATATTCCAATTTTTTAATATCTTGAGGTGGCGCATCTGTCTCGAAGTTTTGAAAATTCTAAAAAAATATTACTTTAATCAAAGTAATAAAAATAGCATTATTTATAAATAAAAAGTTTATTTTAGTAAAATTAACGTGAAACGTAAACATATTTAATAGTAAATCATATGCTTTAAGTAACTTCAGGAGTGTTTATTGGTAGAAATGAGATCTTCTTTTTCGCGAAAATACTGACATTTGGTATCAAAATTTGGTAATTATTTTCTGACTTTAATTCTTGTTCTGATGAAACCATTTCTTGCTTCCGATCCACAAACCGAGACTGAAGATTCAGTATACTGGTTATAACCAGTTTTACACAGCGTTCCACTGCTTGGGTGTGACACTGAAATTTTTGGAAGTATAGGAAATGGTCACCCGAAGAAATCATATCGGTAATTTCTGTAATCGTATTTCATAGTCATAGGTGGTTCAGTCACCTTTTCTGTCGCCCAGTGAATTAACTGATACAAACGTAATGCTTTAGTATTTAGTTGTGGAAGCTTTAATTCCCGTAATCTCGAACATTTTGATTCTTTTCTCGCCTTTAATATTTTCGGCAATGCTAGTTCTCTGATCGATAGATATATTGTAGGTAACATAGCAAGTAATAGGTTTTCGGGATAAATATTTCGCTGAATATTCTTTATAACTATAGTTATAAGGCCTTCAAGTTTTTCTGGAGGTGTAATGATCTTTTAGTCATATTAAATAATATTTCATATTCACATATTTAATAAATATGTGAATAGGACCATGTTTGCACGTAGGCTTGGTGTTGATGTAAAACCACGTTGGGGCATACACTTTCATGATAAAAGTAGCCAATTCTTTTAGGTTTTCCGATGGATTTGCTGTCCCCACATATAAACGAATAATCCTATTAGTCCACGTCAGCCATAGGGAATGTGCTAGCTTGCCTGGATCTTTGTAAGCTATAGCTAATATTTATCCCGAAAACCTATTACTAGCTATGTTACCTACAATATATCTATCGATCAGAGAACTAGCATTGCCGAAAATATTAAAGGCGAGAAAAGAATCAAAATGTTCGAGATTACGGGAATTAAAGCTTCCACAACTAAATACTGAAGCATTACATTTTTACGAGTTAATTCACTGGGCGACAGAAAAGGTAACTGAACCACCTATGACTATGAAATACGATGACAGAAATTACCGATATGATTTCTTCGGGTGACCATTTCCTATACTTCCAAAAATTTCCGTGTCACACCCAAGCAGTGGAACGCTGTGTAAAACTGGTTATAACCAGTATACTGAATCTTCAGACTCGGTTTGTGGATCGGAAGCAAGAGATGGTTTCATCAGAACAAGAATTAAAGTCAGAAAATAATTACCAAATTTTTATACCAAATGTCAGTATTTTCGCGAAAAAGAAGATTTCATTTCTACCAATAAACACTCCTGAAGTTACTTAAAGCATATGATTTACTATTAAATATGTTTACGTTTCACGTTAATTTTACTAAAATAATTTTTTTATTTATAAATAATGCTATTTTTATTACTTTGATTAAAGTAATATTTTTTTAGAATTTTCAAAACTTCGAGACTGATGCGCCACCTCAAGATATTAAAAAATTGGAATATTTTTTCGATATTTATTCATTTTACGCCTTTAGTCAACAATTAATAATATAGGAAAAATCAATTAATAAATTTAATAAAATTCACTCCACCCTAATGTATACAGAATTAAATCAAAATATGTAAAAATGCATAGGGTGTTTCATTAAAAAATAAAAAGTTAAGACTATTTCCGATGAAACCGGAAGTGACCAAAATTTGTTAAATATGTCAAAAAGTTCCAACATACACTTTATAAAGGTCACCCCAGTTTCATGACCCTAGCTTAAATACCAAGTTTTTGCAATGAACCACGAATTTACTAGAAAATGGCATTTTCATTAAAAAAATAATAATTCCGAAAAGACGAACAAAAAAATGTGGCAATGTCAAAATTTATTCTTATTTTTTTGCATTTTTTAGAAAAAACATTTAATGAAAAAATTGAGTGAATTCACTTAATTTTTTATATTTTTTGTATGTAGTAAACAATTAAAAAAAAATTGTAACAATCATTTTCAAGAAAAAAATTTCACTCTAAAAAGCGAAAAATCGATGTTTCTGTTCATTTTTCAAAAATTTCCTTCGGGTGAAGAAAACAAAAAATACGAGTAGAGAAACTGTAAAAAAAATTAGTTGAAAAATAACGACCTATGACAAAGACCCGTAGGCTTGAGAGAGGATTAAACACAAATGTGCTGAACACATTAAACGTGACACAAAAAGCAGTTTTGTTTTTTACCTCTCCTCCGGATCCACACATTTGCTGCAAGAGTAGATATTGAAGAAGTGTTAGTAATAGTAAAGATGTTTGTTATTTTTTAAGGGTTAGGTGTATAAATGTAAATGATTGATTACCTCGTAGTATTTCTCGACAGCAACCACGTTGAGTTTGGTGTCGCTCCAGTCCCTGGTAACTTCGATCTCTTCCTTCTCGTTCAACCATTGAAGCTCATTGGTGGCGGACTGGATGAAATCCAAAAGGGTTTCCAAATCTGTCATTCGGTTGGTAGAGAAAGTCAACAGTTCCGCGTAGATCTTCTGAAGCTGCCCTAAATGTTGATTGTACAAACTCAACTCCTCGCCGTTGAAGTATTGCCTCGCTTGCGTGGCAACCTCCACTTTGGAGTGGAACTGGTCGATGACTTTGTGCTCGCGTTGGTGGACGTCTCTCTCCGTCTGGACGGAAGACAGGTCGCTGCCGTAGTCGGCCTTCTTCAGCTGCTTCAGCTTCATCTTGCACCACTCGATGTGGTCTTGCAGAGACCGGAAGTGCGGGTTGGTGTCCACGTTGATCGTTTCCTGCACCTTGCGGATGTGTTTAGTGACAGTTCTCTCCTCGACCGGAACGCTCATGTTCGACAGAGGCCCGACGATCTTGTTGTGCAGCAAGTGCCTGAGGCTCACCCACTTCTCGTGGAGCTTGTCCACCTTCCTGTCGAGCTCGTTTGCCTGCGGGTAACGGCCGCTTCTCAGAGTGCCCACGTCGGTTTTCAAGGTTTGTATGTCTTGCTCTGTCATCGCCAGATCTTGGTCAATTTGGTCGGCCACCTTCTTCGCTTCCAGCAAGTGCATGCGGTCGATTTTTCTCGATTCGGTTTCAATGTTTATTTCGATCGTGTCTAGATTGGCATCCGTTTGTTTTATGTTTCTAAAAAGAAAAAATATGCTTTTACACTTTGATAGTTTTAGAAACTTTTTTTCCTAACATTGAGTACACCAACTTAGTTTAACTAATTTTGGGCCGCTGATTTCAAAAATGTCATTTGTTTTTCTCTAGGACGTCTAGAATTTAAAATAATTTCGTAATAAAATGCTCTGCTCAATCACCACAAAATGTAAGTTTTTTGTTAGTATTTTAATTAGGTCCCTATTTATTAAATTATTTTGGCTTAAATTTATCTTGAATGTACTATGCTCCACACCTCAAAGTCCCACCACGTGACCACGTACGGAACGCAGTCTTTTGAAAATTTGGCATTTAAGGCTTTTCAGGTTATGTATCTGTCAAAGTATAGTCAATGAAAGAAATAATATTTGTAGTGTTACCGCTTATGTTTAAGCGTTAAAAGTAAATAAATATTTATAGTATCACAATAACAATGGTTGGTTTAAGAATTTAGAAATATAAATACTGCATTTAATGAAATTCCAATGTGTAAGGTGCAATATAAGTGATATTTTTGTGCATTGGGTCTACATTTATCCATTAAATAGTTTTAACTAAACAGCATTTATTAAAAAAAATCTAACTTCTCTATTATGAAATAAGAATATCTGTATCAAAGGTAGGTTAATGTATTAGAACAAAAAATATCACCTAATTTTGTATTTTAAGGTAAGAAAAATCTATTTTGACCAAAATAAATAAGTGGATTATTTGAAAGAGTGTGTTAATATGGTCATAAATAAATATAGGTATACTAAATAATTGTTCAATATAGTTCAAATTAAATTGAAGCTTTTATACTTCTAACGACGAAACTTGTGCTTACCTCTCGGCATACTTACTTAGATTATAAGAAAACAAACAATTTTTAGAGAAACTTGCAATGTGGAAATATTTAATACTCCCATGACATGTGATTTATTAAAATTTTTAAAGTTTTAATGATTTTTTGATGTAGATCAAATTCAGTCGAAGCTTTTTAACTATTTGTATTGACAAAACTTTATGTAGGTACACTTTAAGCTGGATAAGAAAAACTACCACATTTTTAAATACCATATTATAGTCTTTTAAATAATCCAAAATACTTATTTATTTTGGTCAAAATAAATTTTTATAACCTTAAAATTACAAAATTAGATGATATTTTTGTTATAATATATTAACCTACCTTTAATACATATTCTTATTCCATAATAGAGAAGCTAGATTTTTTTAAATAAATGCTGTTTAGTTAAAATTATTTTATGGAGAAAACCAGATATTTGGACCAAATGCACAAAAATATTACTTATTTGGCACCATACACTTTAGAATTTCATTAAATGCAGTATTTATATTCTTAAATTCTTAAACCATCCATTGTTATTGTAATATTATAAAGATTTATACATTTTTAACGCCTAAACATAATATTATTTCTTTCGTTGACTATACTTTGACAGATACATAACCTGAAAAGCCTTAAATGCCAAATTTTCAAAAGACTGCGTTCCGTACGTGGTCACGTGTTGGGACTTTGAGGTGTGGAGCATAGTACTGAAGTAATTGGTATACGGCAAATAGATCATATTTATCTTAATAATGTGACATTTTAAATACTAAAACTAAAATTTTAATGTATTTAATGTAAAAAAAACATTATTTGACATTTTTGTCGTTTATTTTAATTATTGAATTGAAAGGGCAACAAAGTAAACAAGTTTCGGTATTTTTATCCAAATTACGCCCACAAAATTTAATGCATAGCATAATTTTGCTTTTTTCTACCTTCAATTTATTACATCGTATCAAATATCGAATTGAATTATAATATTATTGTGCTTAATCCTCATCATCGTGTACAACTTTTGCTGCAAATTCCAGCAAATGTCTCCTAGCAATGAATCCAACTTATTTCCGCTATACCCATAGATATCTACCAATGCTCTAGATTTACAGTTACTTGGTAAAATCGTTATCCATGTTCTTCAGTTCGGCAAATTTATCAGGATGAAAAAAAAGAAAATGTTTTAAATGACATATTAACGCTAATTCTTTACAAAACGGAGAACATTTTTTCAATGAATTGGCGCCAATTTTAGGCCCGATATGAACCAAGAACATTTTCAATAACAACTTAACATTGCCAAGTAGTAGGTATATCTCATAAAATATGTAATGAAATATTGCGTTGGTTTTTCTTGGGCGTAAAGGTACCGCAACAAACAAAAAATTTAGAACGGCGATATAAAGGTTCGTCTCCTTTCTCTTTCTCTGCCACTTCCATTACCACTTCCATGTCCAGCTCTTTTTTCATATTTGGTTCTTAAAATCACTTTCAAGTAAAAATACAATTTAAAGTTTAAATTTTAAATGTCAAAAATTAATAGATGCACTTTAATGTGCTTCAACCATAAAGTAGGTAAAGGGGCCTTTGTACTTCATTTCGATATTAAATTTTGATAAGACTTAATAAATAAGATTGGACATTGAATTTTTGGGTACTTTAGGCATGATGTGAATAAAAAAATATCAAATAATAGCCGAAGAGTAATGTTTATACCGAAACCCATTTACTTTGTTGCCTTTTCAATTGAATTAGTAATTAAAAAAACGACACAAAAATTTCAAAAAATGATACTTTTTACCAAAAAAACATTATAATTTTAGTTTTGGTATTTAATAAAGCACTTTTCTACAGAAAAGAGCTTTATTAAATATCCCTTATATAATACTACTATAATATACGTCTACAATGAAACAAAAAAAAAATTCTATTTAAGGTAGTTGTCGTGCTGTAAGCATACCATCAGAAAATTTTAAATTTTTGTATACTTATAAAGGACATGACAATACAATTATCTTTAAAATTTGAAGTCGATTGACCGCCTATAAACCGAGATAAATTCAATTAAAAATTGGATAATTAACATGGATTGTATACGCTTTCTGTAGTTCTGTACGAGTTTCTTAGTTATAAAAAAAAAACTTACAGTCTTTTAATGTATTTTTGTTGAGTTTAAAAAAAAATAATTAAAAATTTTTGACCGTCCAATTGTTTAGAAATAACCGTTTAAAGTTAAACAATTTGTAAAAAGTATACATTACTAGTGTCAGATAAAAACAACTTGGCAACGCTGTACGCGAGTATAGATATTATTTCCGTAGTAAATTCAAACACACTGATTCAGTCTCCAATATATCTATTGGCATAAGCGACGTTGCCGGATTAAAACTTATGAAAATATTACGTAAAGGTAACGTCTCCAGGGTAGAGTCTTGAGAAAAAATTATGAATCACTTAGCTACAAGCTCGTATACTTTTACGGTGCGTATAATCTAAAAAATGTTGACAATATTGTACCACGACAACTACCTTAACATTTATACATCGATGACTTTGTATGGAGTCCCCATATATTTTTGACAAAAAACGTTAAAAATATACTAAACATCCAAAATAGATTCAAGGCAAAATAATTTAATAAATAATCAAAATATTAACGAAAAACTTATATTTTGAAATAATTGGCCAGAGCATTTTATTACGCAATTATTTCGAATCCTAGACGTCCCGGAGCAAAACGAGTGGCATTTTTGAAATCAGCAGCCCAAAATTAGGTAACATAGGTGGGCGTACTCAATGTTGGTAATTCGAACTATCATAGTGTTAAAATTGCTTTAATGATGTTGTCACAGCTTTTATAAATCCTTCTCTGACACCTCATAAAGCTAAATGGTAGTTAAGTGAGCTTTATGGTTTTAAAAAGAGTGATAAATATTTAGGTAAAAGCCAAGAGTCACAGAGTACTTACCTATGAACCATCTCGGCTAATTTCTGCAACTTCTCGAGCCTCCTGATTTCTTCCTTGATGTAGCGATCGCGCTCTTGGTGCGCGTGCATCAAACGTTGCCAGTTTCGTTCGATGTTGTCGATGTGCAATTCGGGCTCGATGTCCACCTCGCCCACGCTCTTGAAGTACTTCTCCAGATCTCTGAACAACCTGTGGCAGAAGTCCTTGTCTCTTTGACGAGGCGGGACCTCTTCCGTACGGAACCTGTCCGATTCGGTGGACAGCTTTTTCATCTCGATTAGCGTGGCAGGGAACGATCTAAGTAAAACACAATTTAGTGTTGGGTTGTTACTTGAAGGAAATTCACAAAGTTTGTGACTTTCTTTGTTATGTTTAGAGATGTAAAAAACGGTTTTTTTTAGATGTGAAAAAAAACCTAGAAAAAAAATGTTTTTTTTTGTTTTTTTTTAAATCCGCTGCCATAAAGCATATTCAATCCGCTGTCATAAAGCACATCAATCTTAAATATGGAGTAATTTTTCAAAAGGAAATTTTGAGTAAAATATATATTAATAATAAAGTGAAATGTAGAATATATTACATTACATGTGTCATTTTTAAGCAACATTTTTTTTCAACTAAAAAACAGGCTAAAAACTTTCAGGAAGGTAAAAAAAGAAACCTCTAAAAATTTGAGCTCTTAATATTAACATTTACTCAATGATATTAACATTAAGTGGTGCCTGTTCCTAACTTTCCATTTTCCATTTAAATAACATGGAATTTTTTTTCTTTTTTCTTATATTTGTAGCTTGACATTGGACCATTGTAAAAACGAACTGAAAAATTATTTTGGTAGGAAATTGAACGCTCTACAAAAAAGTTTCAATATATTTTTTCATAGAGTGAGCCGTTCTGAAGGTATTCAAACTCACGTTAGCGTGCCTCTAGTCAATGTGTAATCCGAACGGAATATACCGACTGAGCCGATATAATCTTTTATCAGAGTTATCGACTTTAAAATTATAAAAAAAAGAAAGATTAAAAATTCAATAAAATAAAAAATTCATTGTTTTATTTAATCTATTATAATTATTGAACAAATTTATTGAACACAAATAACTTTTTTTGATAGTAAATAAAATAAAATGGAAAAAAAATTGAGATGTAAGTATTATTTTCTTTCTAAACGAAAATAATTATTTTTTCTTAAAATAATTTTTAAGACATAAAAAAGTATTAGTTTAATAAAATAAAAGTCATAATTTCATACATTTGCAAGTTTGAATACCTTCAGAACGGCTTACTCTATGAAAAAATAAATTAGTACTTTTTTGTAGATCGTTCAATTTCCTACCAAAATAATTTTTCAGTTCGTTTTTACAATGCTTAAATGTCAAGATACAAAAATAAGAAACAAGAAACAATTTTTTTCCATGTTATTTAAAAGGAAAATGGAAAGTTAGGAACAGGCACCACTTAATGTTATTATTAAGAGCTCAAATTTTTAGAAGCTTTTTTTTTTCACCTTCCTGAAAGTTTTTAGCCTGTTTTTTAGTTGAAAAAAAGAAGTTGCTCAAAAATGACACACCCTAATGTACATTTTTCATTATTGAAAATTTTGACCAAGACTAAAAAAACTGATTTCTTATTATTTAGTAGTTTCCACGTAAGAAACAAATAGCAATGTAAAACTTCTACACTAATAGAAAAATTAAAGGATAAAAAAAAATCCAAATTTTTTGCGATTTTTCGGATAGCTGTATCTTCGTTAAAAATGGTCGTATTGGAGCCGTAAAAAAAGCAATTTGAAGCTTGAAGTTTCTAGTTTTGAGATTTTTAGATGAAAAACGTGCAACGCTCAATCCTAACAAATGCCGTAAAAAAAATTCGAAATTAGGCAAATGGGACTAATCTTGAAAAAAAACCTAAAATATGCAAAAAACCATTTGAAAAAAAAACAATGAAAAATAAACAAAAAAACGTGCCGTTTTTTTTTCAAGTCGCATCTCTAGTTATGTTTGTTGTGCTTTACCTGTCTTGCATCAAGCTATAGTTCTCGCGCATCCATATGGAAAGTTTGGTGGCAACTTCCCTGTATTCGTGGACGCGCTCCTGAGCCTGGGGGTCGTATAGGGGGTGGATTTGGGGCGGTTCTGGGAAAACTTCGTGCAAAGAGGAAATGTAAGTGATGAGTGACTTCTCATCTGGTTCGTGAGTGTCAACATCTAAAAAAAACAGTTAGTTAGAAATAATGCATTAATAAAGATCGTTAATATTCTTTTGATTACCATTTTGGTCACGAATTTAATTTAGGCACGAGCAAGCTTGCGAGCGAGTGCTTAATTAAATGAGTGCCTAGAAAAGTTTATACTTAAATATTTAATATTATCTAAAAAATGATTTAAATTAAATATTTGTATAAAGCGAAATCTATACGAAAATAACGTAACCATCCCAATAAACTTTGTTGACGTAATTTTCAGCATTAACATAGTCCGTTATTATTTTAATTAAACTTAACAATTATTGATAGGTACTTTAAAATATTAAAATATCTTCAAAATATGATTATGTAAAGAAAATATATATCCTTTGATTTTTTTTATTACTATAATTGCAAAATATTATCGCAAAGTATTAAACATATTTACAAGGGAAATGTTAAAGGTACAAAAAGTGACATTTGTATTTATTGGAATTCCCGTTAGAATTTCCAACTCGGGAATATACCGGCGTTAAAATCTCAAATTTGTATGTGTAAATCAAAATTTATCCCTTAAAAACAGAACAATCTATATAGAAGCAGTTTTTCACAATAAAAGAGAAGAGAATGTTCATATAATCGTTTCAAATATTGGCGTCAAGAAACTATTTAATACTTTTGTGTTTTTGTATTGAGATAATAAAATAATTTTCACATTTTGTATTATTTTTCAAGAAAGCACTTTATCTTAACGATTGTATGATATTTGACAACTGTCAACTAACTTAAAACTAACCAGCCCGTGACTAAAAACCTGTTGCTAACTTCAGCCCGTGACTAAAGCGTCATATGTGTATTTAACTAAGTATCATGGAAACATGTACGATAATAAGCGTTTTAAAGGTGGGAATAAAAAAAATTATATTTCGAAAAATAATGTACATTTCTTTTTATTAATTTGCAAACCAAGTGTTATTTGACACGTACAAGGGCGTGTTTATGTATTTCTCTGTTAAACCCGCCAGGTCAGGGTTAAGCCCACGTTAATGAATGACATCATAAAATGTCGCGTTGCATTGTGATTTTTTCTTATGCCGTAAAAAAATATTGTAATCGGCTTGCATAGGATGCATAGCAAGTTTAAATAATTGTTGTGACCTCGGTCATTATACGTTTTTAAATGAAATATCGACTTTGAGGTTGATCAATAATTTCTTCATGCAAGTGGAAATGCGTTTATTATTCATAACATCGATTTAGAGAAATTAAAGCGCATTTATTTATGTTTGCATTTTTTATTAACCGTAATTGTTTAATAATGAATTAATTAAATAAAAAATGATTGATCATCGCTTAATTTCAACCAGTTTTGGCCGTTAGAAAATAAATCTTATTTGCCTTCAGGTGACTTATATAGGTTAATTTATAACATTTAAGCATTATTAGTCGATTTCAAAACTAAATTAATTTTATAGGATTAATTTAAATTCTTCATTTACTGCTAAATAACCGCAAATTTGTTTTCTTAATGGCTTAAAATAAATGAAAACTTATAGTCCGTTTAATTAAAATTAAACACCGCCTTGTAATAAATATAATATCAAGTATACTGTACAATTATATATTGCGCATATATTGTAATAAATTAAATCAATATTGCCTTAAGATATTGTTTTATGGTCTATTTAAAAAATATAACATCTCAATTATTAAAGATATGAAATACTTCAAAAGGTAAACTTTAATTTGTATATTACACAGGGTGTCACCAAATATCAACTATTTTTGTTTTAAAGTATATCAAAAATATGGTTTGGGGTGACAAAAAAAATTATTGTGAAAGTTTGAGTCCATAATATTAATATTAACAGGTCTAGCATCGCAGTTTTAAATTTTTTTCCTCAGCAAGTTTTTGTCTCAGAACTCCCAAACCCTTGAGTTTAACAAAATTGACTCTGACTATTTTTTTAAGAAAAATAAATGCTCTACAAAAAAGGTTAAATAAAATTTTACGTCAGATGAACCGTTTCCTTAAAATCATGCCTTAAAAATTGGTATAGTTTTACATTTTGGTCTTTTAACTTTGGAATTTTGTAATTCATGTAAAAATCAGTACCCATAAAAAAACGATTAATATTGTAGCGAGTACCGCTCTGGATATCGGAGTGATGACTCATCGCCGGTTAGTCATCGCCGATGAGTCATCGCCGGTGACTCAGCGCTCGAACAATCGAGAGTGTGGAGCTCGCTGGAATGTTCCAGAAGACCTTGGCGCTGAATATATAAGAAACGGAGCAGCACACGGCAGTCAGTCCAGTTTTGGTACTCGCGTCGAAATAAATAAATATACGTGCAAATAAATAAACTAGTAGTGATATATAAATAATAAGTAGTTAAGTGTTTAGTTAGTTTTATAGTTTTATAGTGTTTTAAGTGTAGTTAAGTTATTAAATAAATAGTTAAGTTCGTTAATTAACCAGTGCGTGTTTTTATTCACACTACGAACAGTAAAAACGTTACAATTGGTGTCAGAACAAGGAATATTGAGAGTAAATGGAGAAGAAGTCGTGTTGCATCGATCAAAAGAAAAGAATATTCGTGTAATGCTAACAGAAGATGCTTTGATACCGGAACACAGCGAGATGATATTGAAGGCTTCCTTGGATTGTAAATCAGAAGATGGAAGTATAATGCTTCTGGAGCCGAGAATTGATGACAAAGAGGTCGGTCGAGGAGTTGTAGTAGGGAAGACTTTAATACGTGTCGGAAAAGAAGTGCCTGTAAGAGTATTGAATGTTAATGGTTACTCTGTAAACCTAAAGAAAGGAATCGTTTTAGGAAACTGTTCTTCGGTTTCCTCGATTATTAGAGGCATTCGTGAGTCTGCAGTCCCGGCCAAGAAAGTTAGCAATGAATTGACGAATCTTCTGTCGACTTCTTCAAAGGATTTGAAACCCAATGAAAGGATAAAGCTGAAAGAGCTGATTCACAATTATCAGGATGTCTTTGACGACGGACAAGGAAAGAAGGGTAGGACAAGAATTGTCCAACATAAAATTAACACCGGTGATGCACAGCCCATTCGACAGTCGGCAAGAAGGCTACCACTTGCCAAGCGAGAGGAAGCTGATAAAATTGTGCAAGAAATGGAGAAGGAAGGGGTGATCGAACCATCCAACAGCCCATGGTCTTCCCCAGTGGTGTTAGTTAAGAAAAAGGATGGATCAACTCGATTTTGCGTCGATTTTCGTCAGCTGAACAACGTGACGAAGAAGGACAGCTACCCTCTACCTAGGATCGATGACACCCTGGATACATTGGCTGGATCCCAAATATTTTCGACTCTGGATTTGAAAAGCGGTTACTGGCAGGTTGAAATGGCACCAGAAGATAGAGAAAAGACGGCGTTTACCGTGGGTGCTGGACTGTGGCAGTTTACTGTCATGCCGTTTGGACTATGTAATGCCCCTGCAACTTTTGAAAGGCTCATGGAAATGGTTTTGAAGGGACTATCCTGGAAGACATGCTTGGTGTACCTTGATGACATCATTGTGGTTGGGAAATCATTTGAGGACCATATGAGGAACCTGAAGGAAGTCTTTCATCGCTTAAGAAGTTCTGGCCTGAAGCTTAGCCCAAAGAAATGTCACTTGTTCCAGAAGGAAGTGCAGTATCTGGGCCATGTCGTTTCAAGTCAAGGAGTTGCAGTGGATAAACAGAAGGTAAAGACGGTGCGGGATTGGCCAATACCGAAGAATAAACATGACTTAAGAAGCTTTCTTGGATTATGCACCTACTACCGTCGGTACGTACCAGGATTCGCAAAGGTTGCTAAGCCTTTGACACGTTTAACGGAGGGAGAAAGACGATTCCAATGGGACGACGAATGCCAGGAAGCCTTTAAGAACCTGAAAAACGCGTTGACCAGCTCACCAGTCCTGAGTTATCCACTTCCGGATGGTGAATTTATTTTGGACACGGACGCCAGCAATGTGGGCCTGGGAGCTGTTTTGTCGCAGATTCAAGAAGGAAAAGAGAAAGTTATTGGATACTTCAGTAAAACTCTATCGAAACCAGAGCGAAATTACTGTGTTACTCGACGCGAGCTGTTGGCAGTGGTAAAGGCAGTCGAACACTTTTACAAGTACCTGTATGGAAGAAAATTCTTGCTAAGAACGGATCATGCTGCCCTAAAATGGCTTTTGCAATTCAAGAATCCTGAAGGACAGGTAGCAAGATGGATTGAGAGACTACAGGAGTTCGACTTTGACACAGAACATCGGGCTGGGACCATCCATAGAAATGCTGACGCCTTGTCAAGAAGACCGTGCCCGGAAGACTGTAAACATTGTCTCAGGGCCGAAGAAAAGGATGTGTTTGTTCGCAGGACTACAATCGTGGATGATCATTGGCAATCCGCTGAGGTTCAACAAGACCAGGAAAGGGATCCGGATTTGAAGCTTATCATCGATTGGAAGAAGAACGACCGTAAACCAACGTGGCAGGAAGTCGCCCAATATTCGCCGAATGTGAAATCGTACTGGGCCCAATGGAATTCCATCATCTTAAGTGACGGGCTTCTAAAGCGCGTTCTGGAGTTGCCAGAAGGGGGGGAAGACCGGAAGCAGATAATAATCCCCAGAAATAGGATACCAGAAGTGCTGCAGGAAATCCATGATGGAACTACTGGAGGACATCTTGGGGTGACCAGGACGCTCGGAAGACTTAGGGAACGGTTTTATTGGGTCAACAGCCAACGAGATGTGAAGGAATGGTGCAAGAAGTGCGCCGTTTGCGCGGCAAGCAATGGACCCCAGAAGCGCCCAAAAGCCCCAATGCGACAGTACAATGTGGGCAGCCCATTTGAGAGAATTGCAATCGATGTGGCGGGTCCATTTCCGGAAACAGAATCTGGAAATAAATACATCATCGTTGTAATGGACTACTTCAGCAAGTGGGCGGAAGCGTACGCCTTGCCAAACCAGGAAGCTGCCACAGTGGCCGATGCCCTTATTAAGGAGTGGATTTGTCGTTTTGGTGTGCCAATGGAGATGCATTCAGACCAAGGCAGGAACTTTGAATCTATACTGTTCCAGAATGTCTGTAAAATTCTTAACATTCGGAAGACGAGGACGACTGCATTACATCCGCAGTCTGATGGAATGGTAGAACGAATGAATCGAACGATAAACCGGTACCTGTCCAAGGTAGTCTCTGATCACCAAAGAGACTGGGACCGCTTCCTTCATCTGTTCCTGTTGGCGTACCGTTCTTCTATCCACGATACAACCGGCCAGACACCCGCTAGCATTGTTATGGGGCGTGAACTTCGTCTACCTTGTGACCTGAGGTTTGGTTGCCTACCAGGGGATGATATTGCTGGAGAAGATTACGTCAACAATTTACGTAGGAAAATGAGCGACATTCACAGCCGAGTTCGTTTAAACATCCAGAGCGCCAGTGATAGAATGAAAGAGGCATACGACATCAAGGCGGAAAATGGAGGATTTCAACCTGGAGACCTAGTTTGGTTATACAACCCTCAGCGCCGTCGTGGTTATTCACCGAAGCTGCAGACTTCTTGGGAAGGACCATACGAAGTCATGGATCGCATAAATGACATCATCTACAGGATCAGGAAACAACCAAGAGGAAAGCCGAAAGTGATCCATTTCAACCGATTGGCCCCTTACGCTGGAAACAATGCTCAAATAGACGATGCTAGAGTAAGGAGAGTTAATCCGCCGGAAGACGACTTGCCTTTTGAAGACTTCATGTATTTATATTCGAGCGGTAAAAAAGCTCGGTATGGTGTCACTCGAGAAGAGCAAAAAGATCTGTTCACGGTTTCGGCCGATTACTCCCTGGCTCACTGTGTTGCGGAAGACCTTAGGATGTCCAGGGGAATAGCGGTTGTCTTTAAAAACAAGTTTGGACGGGTCGACGAGCTACGAAGGCAGAGTCCCAAAGTTGGAGAGGTGCTTGAAATGGTGGATAATGAGCAGATAGGTAACCGAAGTATCTTCTATCTGGTAACGAAGCAACTCTCCAATCAGAAGCCAAATTACCGTGACGTATGGAATGCCTTAAATAAATTGAGGGATATCCTTTTGTCCAAGGACATCATGAACCTGGCGATACCAAAGATTGCTTGTGGACTTGACGGTTTGGACTGGAGAATAATTAGAAGTATGGTGGAAGTTATCTTCAGATTTAGTGGCATACACATTCTTGTCTGTTGCCACAACCCTAAAAGAACAACCGGAAGGAAGACCGTAGACTGCTACTTCTATAGGACGTCACAATGCAAGTTTGGATCTCTATGCAAATATCGCCATGGAGCTGAGGACCATTTTCGGGACGAAAATGTTTTAAGACGGGGGCAATGTAGCGAGTACCGCTCTGGATATCGGAGTGATGACTCATCGCCGGTTAGTCATCGCCGATGAGTCATCGCCGGTGACTCAGCGCTCGAACAATCGAGAGTGTGGAGCTCGCTGGAATGTTCCAGAAGACCTTGGCGCTGAATATATAAGAAACGGAGCAGCACACGGCAGTCAGTCCAGTTTTGGTACTCGCGTCGAAATAAATAAATATACGTGCAAATAAATAAACTAGTAGTGATATATAAATAATAAGTAGTTAAGTGTTTAGTTAGTTTTATAGTTTTATAGTGTTTTAAGTGTAGTTAAGTTATTAAATAAATAGTTAAGTTCGTTAATTAACCAGTGCGTGTTTTTATTCACACTACGAACAGTAAAAACGTTACAATATTCTTATGGGAAATCAAATGCTTTACAAAAAAAGCCTATTAACATTTTTGGCTACATTCACTCAATAAAAAGTTATTCAAGGTTAAAGTTGAAGTCAAAACGAAATTCTTGTTTTTTCCTTTGTAGATTTATTTTTTTTATGGATGATTATTTGATTTTTTTCTTTAAAGATGTGTATTATATAACTAATTAACAATTTTCAATAAAAAAATAACATAATTGTTATTATTTAAACGATTAAATAGGTAACAGTGAAAATAATATGTTCCAAAGAAAATAGCATCTTAAAGCGAAAACATTCTAAGGTGTTATTTTTTTTTATTCTTCAGTAATTTTATCAATAACATAAAGATTATCATCGATAAAAGAATCCAAGTTTTTAACTGACCAAAAAAAAATCTAGAGCGGAAAAAACAAGAATTTCGTTTTGACTTAAAATTTAACCTTGAATAAGTTTTGATGGAGTGAATTTAGCCAAAAATGTTAGGAGACTTTTTTTGTAGAGCATTTGATTTCCCATAAGAATATCTATCGGTTTTTTTTCTGGGTACTAATTTTTACATGAATTACAAAATTCCAAAGTCAAAAGATCAAATTGTAAAACTGGCATGATTGTAAGAAAACGGTTCATCTGACGGGAAATTCCAATCAAACCTTTTTTGTAGAGCATTCAATTTTCTTCAAAAAATAATTCTAAGTCAATTTTGTTAAACTCAATGGTTTGGGAGTTCTGAGACAAACACTCGCTCAGGAAAAAAAATCTAAAATTGCGATGATAGACCTCTTAATCAGTGTTGCCATCTTGGAGAATTTTTCACCATTTCTTGTGATTTTTTGTTCTTGGTTGAGAGTTTTCAAGTTAGATAGCGACAAGTCTCAAACCTGGAGAATTTAAAGATGCATCGGAGAGTTTTTAGCGAATTTTTAATAATTAAAATACAGAATAAAAAATATTGAAAGTTTCGGTTGGGTACGTTGTACTAGTGATTTTTTAATTAAGTTGGTTACCCAGAAAGAATTTTACCGGTCGGAACTTTGATCCTCCATCCATTAAAGTTACTACCTCCTCCCTGATAATGTATTAAAACAAATAGGTACCAAAATATATAACAATGAGACTGATGAAACAATAGATGATATAATTGAATATATTAGTACCTACTATCTAAATCCTTCTACAGTTTATCCTAAAATGTGCCCGTCACACTTTGTATATAGAAAAATAGACTTATTTTGATCTGTAGGTACCTACATGACGTTAGCAAAGTTTGGCCAGCTACTTTTGGGGTTTCCTGTATAGCTTTAAAAATTATTTTTTTGTTATTTCCATGTTAAAAGAAAATGTTTATTATATAAAAAGGCATTAACGCCTTACAAAGTTGTTTTTTTATATTTGTTTTTTTGTTAACTTTTTAAATACCTAAACTGTTTAATATTGTTTGCATTTTGTGTCCATACAAACCTTTTTGTTTTTGCCCATTAAAAGTATTGGAGATTTTTTTTTTGCAAAGTTGGAGAATTCTGGTGAATTTTTGTTTAGGCTTATGGATTAAACTATCACCATAATTTTTTTTGTCGCCCCAAACAACGTTTTCGATATAAAAAAATGGTCGATTTTTTTGGCCCAGCCCAGTGCAGCATATTTGGTTAAACACATGGTACAAAACTTACCTTCTGGATCCAAAAGCCTGGTGACTCCGTACTCCTTTTCTGCAAGATAGAAAACGCGTTCCATACGTTCTCTGGGCCTCTGGTTACGCGCATGCCTGTAGTCGAGCAAATCCGGTCTGTTCCTGTTCAAGATGGCGCTGAACGCCAGACCGTCCCTCCAAGACTTGGAGAAGTCCTTGACGGTGACTCCAGGATACTTGTGTGTAGTTTGTTTGGCCCATCGTAGCAAGTAGTCCTTGGCCGAAACGTTGCTCTCTTGTCCGACAATTATATCGGATATCTAAAATAAAATATAAATTTTAATATTATTATCCTGAAATCCTTTTAAACACGGTGGTCAAAACTATATTATAGGACGAACAAAAATGCCAACCAAAACTGATAGCATAATCTGATTATAGACTCTTTTGGTAACACAAAAATGTATTTATCACAATCCCAGCTGATCCTTTATTAAAGTTTTGCATATTTCTTAGTATTTTAAAATTGTTTATGCCATTTCGATAAAATACTCTAGTACCATTATCAAATGTTTTTAAAAATTTGGCAGATACATGACTGAAATATGGATAAATTACATTATAAATACAAAATAATGTAAAATACAGTTTGCAATATCTTATTTATTGTTTTAAGGTATCTAATACAAAACTAATAAATAACTAAAGATTCTTTGAAGCAAAATCGATTACTGCTTGCCTTAAATTTTCAGTAAAACTTTTTCTTGGGTTTTACATGGAATTGTTTTTAACATGGAAACAGTATTTTCAAATTCTTCAGTCTCTGTACAAACATTCGTCTTACATCTAGCGATATCCCCTAGAAAGGATGAGCATATCAAAACTTTAGTTCGTTAGTCCGTCCTCTTCCCTTAATAATTTTTTATGCCCTTTATATCTTGCCATTTTGCAGATAAAGCACATACATTCTTGGCTGCCGCGAAATTCTCTAGCAATTTCTAAATTTTGAAAATTTGCAAATTGTGGCTATGGAAAAATACAGTTTTTACCATATTGAAGTGGGTAATTTTGAATCACTTAAGTTAAAGTGTTCGTTTGAAAAAGTCTGCAGTAATTTTTATAATTTCTCAGAAACCCTAAACTCTGAATTTTTCGATTACCAAAAACAATTTTGTCTCCACAGCCAGCACATACCTTCTTTCGATTTTCTTCATGGCTTAACTTGAATTTCGGTTTAATTTTTATTTTAAAATACTATTTTTAACTTTATAAAGTATACATTAAATAAACAACTAAAGCAAAATGTCACTTGCGTTATAACGTATAGCAATTTTTTTCATAACTATTGTTTTACAAAATTTGCAAGTTGTAATTATTTCATAGACAAACTTACTTACTTAACCAGTATTTTTTTTATAAAAAATATTTAAGATATAAATCTTCGTTTTTTTTGTTATGTTTTGTTTTGAGTGGTAAAAAATAATAGGTGACTCAATAAATTAATACTGGGGAGTAAAGTAATTTAAATAATACAAAGTTTGCTTAATTTTATTAAAATTGTACAGGTAGTTTTAGTACAATAATTGCAAAATAATATATAGAAATAGAAAAACAAAAAAGTTTGCAAAATAGGAACAGCTGGGATTTTAATAAATACATGTTAGTGTTACCAAAAGGGTCTATAATCAAAATATGCTATTAGTTTTGGTTGGCATTTTTGTTCGTCCTATACTTAAATTTTGACCACCGTGTAAAGGACATACAATGATTGTATGTATTGTGTGCTAATTAATAATGCTTGAGGCCATTGGCAATGGTATTTCCTTTGATAAATCAATTCAAATATGATATCTGTACTGTGACAAATGATATTTATATGTGTATTAAGTTTATAAGAACTGTTTAAATATTCTTAATTAACCCACATACATATTATTGTATTATATGTTAATTGAAATTGGGATGGTTAAGTGAAATTCAATCCTAAAAATGTAATTACAAGTTACTTTCTTGTAACCCAATTTGCATTAAGTGGTAAATACGAGGGTAAATATTTTCAGTAATATTCTTATGCAAAGCATATGTCTAATTTAAAAAGATTAAGGAAGATAATATATTATAGGAAATGGTGCTATAATTATTGTAATTTTTTTGATAAATGCGCTAAAATTGTTGAAGCATTCTAAAACGCAACAGATATAAATAATTTATTACACGCATTATTTTTAAAAGAATTTTTTTTATTATTATCTTAATAAATACAAATTATAGGTAATTATTTAAAATGTCTAAAGTTTGTACATAAATATTTTTTGATCACGAATTTGAAGATTGTGGATCTACAGTGTTGCCAAATTTATATATCGAGCATACAAATTATTAATAAAGTAAATAGAAGACGGCAACCTTGGTTTATAAAACTTCGTAACGACTATGTTCTGTTATGTAATTAATTATTATCCAATTTAATACATAACTAGCTTCCTAAGTAGCCTTTTAGTTATGTAGTTATGTATTTTTAGAAAACAACCTTCTATACAGTGTGTTGACTTGAGATAGGTGTAATATACCAAAAAATATTAGCCCTTATAATTAATCTTTTAAATATTTTTTTCTAAGAGGTATGGCTGACACATATCATTAAGTATATTTTTTAATGTTTTCAAATCATTGTTCTAGTTGTCTTTATAAACTTGTTGTTTTAGTTGGCGCAAAAGAAGTCCATAATTGTTAAATACGTACTTCTAGGTGGTCAAATCTACCAATCCATGTTTTCCAAATATTCCTTATAAAAAGAGTTGACAGTAAGTTGAGATGTTGCCGAATCCTCTTGGTCCAATATTGTAACGGTAAAGTCGCTTATTGAACCCCCTGTAAACTTTTTTCGAATTGTCTAACCACCCCTTTGTAGCTAATTTGCCCCAAACCATAGCCTTGTACAATAAATATTTCTTGTTAGGGTACATACTATTTAAATAATTTTTTATATACTTTTATGTAACAAATGACCTATTATGATAAAGTCTACCATTTTTTACCTAAGTAATTTTAATTGACTATTAAAAATGATGAGCTCAGCATTAAAAATGTGATTTTATTGATAATCAGTCGATTAATTATTTGTAAACGTTTAACCGTTAGATTATAGTATATAATGTATCGAGTTTGATAAACGACATTTTAGACACAAATTTAATTTAGGCACGAGCGGGTGCTTAATTAAATAAGTTAAAGTTTATAAACGAGTTGCATACTATACTTTTTCTGCGACAAATACTTTTTAAATTAAATATTTGTATAGAGCGACATCTATAAAACAATAGAGTAAACAACTTGGGAATCTGTATTACCGGTAAATCAAAATGTATCCCTTGAAAATGGACCGTTTAATCTGATATGGAAGCAGTTTTTCACAGTGAAAGTAAAGAAAATGTTTTATTTGCACTCCACACTGGAGTCTCCACCCGAAATTTAGTTAAATATAGATTACTGCCGGCGAAATTAAAAGGTCAGTACAAAGTTATATATAAACCTTTCTAAGATTGGCGAGAAGAAACTGTTGAATAATTTTGTATTTTTGTATTGAGGTAATAAAAGTTTAGCATATAATTAAACTATTTATTTAGAGAAAGAATTATACAAAATATGATCTAATTAAGTTAAATTCATGGGCATAAAATTTACACATAGTAGCAGTACCTGCATAAAGACGTAAGAAATAAGAAATCTTAAAATGAATATTATCAATAAATAAAAGTAATAGTTGGAATTTCCTTTCATTAAGCATCTAACTGCTTTAACTGTTAACTCTTTCATGAATGCCAAAGGGAATTTGGTACCATTATTGTATTTTCTATTTTACTATAAAGTTAAAATTCACCTAGGATTATGACACACAAAATATGTCATACAAATGTGATCATTTGTCTTACTAATTAAGGTAGTATTTCTCATAGAAAAAGAATAGAAGAGGTTGATAAATAAATAATACCAGTAGGCCGTGACAGCAAATTCAGCGGTGCCAATGTAAAAAATGTAATAAAAATTGTTAAATAACAAAATTAAGGTTTAAAACTGTAATAATTTAAAATAAAAATTGTTTTTTTTTAATTATACTATAAAAATCAATTTCTAAGCCAATTTTATGGAAATCTCAGTTAAATATGCCATGTAAATCATTTTTTCTACTCCCACCTTTAAAACGCCCTTTATCGTACATGTTTCCACGACACTAAGTGACCTTTTAAATACACATTGACAAGTTGTGGCTTTATGGCGCTTTAGTCACGGGCTGAAGTTAGTTTTAAGTTAGTTGACAGTTGTCAAATGTCATACAATCGTTAAAATAAAGTGCATTTCTTGTAAAATAATACTAAATGTGAAAATTATTTTATTATCTCAATACAAAAATACAAAAGTATTAAATAGTTTCTCAACGCCAATATTTGAAAAGTTTATATGAACATTTTACTGACCGGCAGTAAACTATAACTTAAATTCGGGCACGGACTCCACTGTTAAACATTTTCTTTACTTTCACTGTGAAAAACTGTCAATTTTCAAAAAATACATTTCGATTTATAACCTTTATAATCTGTGTTTATAAAATATAAAAATTTGACATTTGACGGTGACCCACAAATCCCCCTATTGTTTCATAGGTGGCGCTCTATACAAATTTTTTATTGAAATTATTTTAAGATAATAATAAGTATTTGTCGTAGAAAAAGTATAGTATGCACCTCGTTTATAAACTTTTCTATCCACTCATAAATTAAATTCGTGTATAAAGTGGCGTTTATCAAACTTGATACATAATATACTATTATAAATTAACAATTTTAACAATGGAGACTTAAAATTAACAATAAGATATAATCGTAAATCGTAAAATAAATTACATAGTAACTTTTTAAAGAAATCTTTATTTCGTGATGTATAAATAAAATCTTAAAGCAGTAATGTGTATCAGGCAGTCACGGAACGAACAAAAGAGAGTTGTTGAACTTTTTTAAATTAAAAAATATATTTTTTTGTAATATTCTTTTTTAAAAGATAAAAATTTCAACAGGTTCATTAATTATAAAAACAACATAAGGATTATGATTTACGCAATGTACAGGTTGTGAAGTTGAATTTTCCTTTTATGGCGTAAAATTCGAAGTAGCGTTCGCATCCTTCTTCATATTTCCAAGAAGAATTTTCCGTTTTTGGCTCTAATCGGTTTCAAAATGGTAATCGATAGTGAAAGTACAGTTAAAATGGTAAATGAACCACGGCTTTATTCAAAATTACAATAACAAAAAAAACAAAACTTCTT